GGTATGTATATTGCAAAAAAGACCTGTTAAATGTTGCATTTCTTGTATTGATAATGATTGTTTGTGTCATGTAGGCGATCGTCCGTTGGTGATTACGACGGATACGAGACGGACAAAGAAACAAATGGTTACGACAGGCCCTAGTCTTGGGCGTCTTAAAATGGTACCCATCATTACAATTACGTTTTTTTTTTGTTCAGTTCCATTTCCTCTGGTACTCAATATTCCATTTTTCTTTTTAACAGCAAGCCCTCCTCGCCCGTGAACAAGAAATCCTTAAAGCCAAAGATGAATCCCCGTACCCAACCCCCGTAGAAGAAACCTCTCAAAGCCTCCTCCTCAAATCCCTCGCAAGAAGCCAGCCGACACCATTTCCCGAGAAATTACTCTTTTCCTATTTTTATTTGTACCTTGATGTGCTGGGTGATAAAGAACTTGAACGGCATTCCCTTGCGCGGTTCTCGAGGTTGGAATCTGCGTGTGAGAGTGTGCCTGTTTCGAGTGTGTGTCGGGATCGGTTTCCGAGGGTTGGTGAAATGTGTGAGAAAGGGGGGGATGTGATGTTGGTCAAGGTATGTTTCCTTATTCTTGGAAGACTGTTGCGGTCATACTCTGTGTGTTGATGACTTATCTTTCTTCTCGTGTAGATCCATCTTAATCTCCACCATCTTACGACAGGCGATTTCCGCAATATCAGCGTCTTTGAATCCACCCGTGCCAAAACCCTAGAATGCACAACAACAGTCTACCATTTCGGTCAACGGATCCTCGAAACCAAACAAGTCCAATACCCTCTCCCCGCTTCCCCTACCACTACCCCAACAACAACAACAACACCACAACGCCATTTATACCACTTTGATTTCGTCAAACAATTCTTTTCGGCCTTTTTAGCCGGATTCCAATGCCTACGCATGGACGTTGAACGCATGATCGCCATTGATAACCTTAGCGTTATGCAAGTATTTGAAGATGTGTCATTACCCTTTGAACAACCCTCCCCGCTCTTGTGTGTTTTGTATCAGTTTGAGTGCGGGAAGGGGGAAACGAGAGCGGTTTTCGTCGAATGAAAAGTACGAACAGCAACACACACTGCATCAGTGGAAACAAAACCCTGTTTTTTTTCTTTATTTCTTTTTTTTTTGGATTTTTTGTGTGTGTGTGTGCATTTATGTGCATACATTTTTGTATGTTGCGATACCACACCCCCATACCCCCTCTAACAAACCTACTGTGAATCTTGTGCGTTATATTTAAAGAAAAAAAAAAAAGAAAAAGAAAAAGATGGATACAAGCATGTATGTAAATACTTTCCGTAGTCGACGAGAAAAAAAAAAAGAAAAAGCGCTATGTATTATAGAAAGTAAATTATTATCTTGTAAAAAACTAGTGGTTCTTTTTTATGTTTTTTCGAATTTTGGATACGAGTGTTTTGCATTATATGGACCATTCGTTGAATGCTCTTGATATCTACTTGACCATACCTTTATACCTGGACTATATCGACTCTCATAATACACCGTATCTCATTTCTTTTCACATACCAGACTGTTTAAACTCTCGAAATACTTCCCTATCGAGTACCTATCTTCCAGATATGGGCAGCAATATGAATATCAATTATTATGCTCATTTATCGTGTCAAAAGTCGGTGTGGCCGAGTGGTTAAGGCGTTGGACTTGAAATCCAATGGGCTCTGCCCGCACAGGTTCAAACCCTGTCGCCGACGCTGGAAAACAGGCGCTGCTTTTTTTTTTCTTTTAACCACCTACAGTTATAGCTCTGGTTGTCACTCACGTCCTTTTTGGGACTTGTGGTGAGTAGAGACATTTGTTTTTTGGGATATGGTTTTTTGGTGCAGTGGGTGCCTTTGCCGGATTTGCGACGTGTGCCCAAACTTTGATGGTTGAGGGTAACTTGATAATGTCTTATCCACTTACTAGAATGTCGAGGAGGTTGATGCCAAAACAAACATGCTTTCCGTTCTGCAAACTGGTCGTTTTTTCAATCTTTGTCGGTTACCCCCTCTCCTGTGCAGTGGGCAGAAACATTAAAAAAATCGCAATCAAACTAGTACCATGTTTTTATATAGCTTCACATTCTCTCACCCGACAAAAGGAAACATTTACCCAAAAACCTTTTGTGTGTGGTTCACACTTGGTCCAATCACACACATATGTATATTACTTTATTAAAACAAATCATTAATATTTTAAAAAAACTCGTTCCTGCACAATTGTTCACATCTTGTTACTCACAAGAGAGAAAAAAAAACCCACTCCACCAAAAAAACACCAAATCACGGTACATGAACATTTACATTCCACTCTTCATCCTCTCTTCCTTCCCATCACAAACCCTTTTAACAACCCCAACAGTATCCACCAAACACTCCTCCCAAACTCTCTCAAAAACCTTTTCACCAACAAGACGTTCCCAACCTTGCATCTCCTTCCAAGCCTTTTCAGCTTGCTTGACTTCAGCAATCAACAACGCATCCAAATTCTCGCCATGAGTTTCCGAGTAGGCTTTCCATCCTCGTACCATCTCCACGGTGCGTTCAATGACTTGTGCACGGGACAAGGGACGAGAACGTACAAGTCGACTAGATGGTTGCGTAAAGAGAGTGGATAGGGCTTCATTGGTGGCATCAAAGAGGAGGGCATAGCGGTTCAGAATGTAGTCACCGCGTTTTTCAACTTGCATAGAGTCGAGGGTTGTGGGGGGTAATTGCGGGGCATGGGTGTAGTGTCCGGAGGGGGTGTCGGGGGGTGGGAGATGGGTTTCGAGCATGGCGTGGACAAATTGGGCAGAGAGGGCCGAGCCAGAGAGTGGAGGGTGGGTGGGAGGTGGTAGGGATGCCTGACGGGGTGGTGGAATAGGGGCTTCGGGCTTGCGGTGGTGAGGTTTGACCATATGCATAGTCGTCACGGCTTCTGAAAAGACTGTCGTCGAAAATGAGGTTGGCGATTTGCTCGGTTGTTGTATCAGTCGAGATGGGGTAGATGTCCGAGTTCCTAGGTGATGGACCAGGAAGGGGACTTTGCTGCTGCTCGACAGGTGCAGCACCGTCCTTGGCGCCCTGTTTTTCAACACTTTTCATGACTAAAGATTGGTGTGTGTCAGCACTACGAAACGCAAACGAGAACAACACAAATGACCAACGCACCTTTGATGGCGTCGTCCAACAAGTCCGCCAAAAGCTGGTCAACGATATCCTCCTCTGCAGAAGGGTCCACGGATGTCTCCAATCCTTTAGCGGATAAATCTACATCGAGCTTCACATCTTGATCCACCTGCTCTAGAATCGCGTCTTGCTCTTCCTTGTGTAAATCTACAGAGTCGACCACAGGGACAAAGGAGTCGCTATCGTCTTCATCTTGGACTTGTTCTATCGCAGTGGGATTGTCCTCAGCGGACACTTCTCCCACGCGCAAATCGGTAGACTCGACAACAGGCTCAAATGAGTCGCTATCGTATGCATCTTGGACTTGTTCTATCGCAGCGGGATTGTCCTCAGCGCACATTTCTCCCACGGGCAAATCGGTAGACTCGACAACAGGGACAAATGAGCTATCGTGTTCATCTTGGACTTCTTCTATCGCAGTGGGATTGGAATTGTCCTCAGCAGACATTTCTCCTCCCACGCGCAAATCGGTAGACTCGACAGCAGGGACAAATGAGTCGCTATCGTACTCATCTTGGACTTCTTCTATCGCAGTGGGATTGTCCTCAACGGACATTTCTCCCACGCGCACATCGGGAGACTCGACAACAGGGACAAATGACTCGCTATCGTACTCATCTTGGACTTCTTCCATGGCAGCCGGATGGTCCTCAGCGCCCTTGCATAAATCGCTGGGCTCCACAAACGAAACAAACCGGTTCTTGTCGTCCTCATCTACTTCTTCCACCGCAGCTGAACCGTCGTCAGCGACCATTTCTCTCTTATGTAAATCACTATGCTCCACAGATGAAGCAAACGAGCCGTTATCGTACTCAGATTGGACTTCTTCCACGATATCTGCACCGTCCTTATGTACATCGTTGGACTCCACAATAGGGACAAATGAGTCGCTATCGTATTCATTTTGGACTTCATCCTTAGCAGCCGGATTGTCCTCAGCGACCAGTTCTCCCTTATGTAAATCACTGTGCTCTACAGATGAAGCAAAGGAGCCGTTATCGTACTGAGATTGGACTTCCACAATATCTGGACCGTCCTCAGGCGCCTTGTGCAAATCGGTAGACTCGACAACAGGGACAAATGAGTCGCTATCGTATTCATTTTGGATGTCATCCATGGCAGCCGGATTGTCCTCAGCGACCAGTTCTCCCTTATGTGAATCACTGTGCTCCACAGATGAAGCAAACGAGTCGTTATCGTACTCAGATTGGACTTCTTCCACGATATCTGCACCGTCCTTATGTACATCGTTGGACTCCACAATAGGGACAAATGAGTCGCTATCGTATTCATTTTGGATGTCATCCATGGCAGCCGGATTGTCCTCAGCGACCAGTTCTCCCTTATGTGAATCACTGGGCTCCACAGATGAAGCAAACGAGTCGTTATCGTACTGAGATTGGACTTCCTCCACGATATCTGAACTGTCCTCAGGCGCCTTGTGTACATCGTTGGACTCCACAGCGACCAGTTCTTTCTTATGTAAATCACTGTGCTCCACAGATGAAGCAAACGAGTCGTTATCGTACTGAGATTGGACTTCTTCCACGATATCTGCACCGTCCTTATGTACATCGTTGGACTCCACAATAGGGACAAAGGAGTCACTATCATACGCTTGTTCTTCCAAACTAACTCCAGATGCATCTGCAGCAGCCGCCGCTTGTTCTCGTTGCTCGAGAGGTACAGACTGTCGGGCAATAGAAGCAGCTGACAAAGACGTATAACTCTCGACATCCAGTTCCACCCCCATGCCAATCGTCACAATCTCCGCTTCAGTTCGATAAATGATGGAATTGATCGCCTGCAAAGGAAGATGAATTGGATTTCATTGAAAAGCGCACGTATAGTCGTCCGAAACCCCGTACCTCTAACTGTTGCTTCAACTTCATTTCCGTCTCCCTCATCCGCTGTCTCACAGTTTGCTGCTTTTGAAGCTTCTCTTGATATAAAAGTTTGGCTTTTCGTTTCCGTTCAGCAATCTGTCGCCGAAGAAGCTCTATGCGACGAGCCAGCTCACCGCATGGATTGTCCTCAGCGACCAGTTCTCTCTTATGTAAATCACTGTGCTCCACAGATGAAGCGAACGAGTCGTTATCGTACTGAGATTGGACTTCTTCCACGATATCTGGACCGTCCTCAGGCGCCTTGTGTACAGCGTTGGACTCCACAATAGGGACAAAGGAGTCACTGTCATACGCGTGTTCTTCCAAACTAACTCCAGATGCATCTGCAGCAGCAGCTGCTTGTTCCCGAGTTTGCAATTCGGCAATAGAGAGATAGCGAGGCAAATCGGCCGGGACCACATGGTCAGAAACGGTAGAGACGGGAGAGTCAGGTTCCGGTGGCAAATCTTCAGGAATATCGTCCCCAGAAGCTTCCACGGTGCCACCTCCAACAGATAAAAAGTCAGACAAGTCCTCCAAGTCCTTTGCCTTCCCAGAAGGTTTCGCGGTGCCGCCTCCAACAGATAAAAAGTCAGACAAGTCCTCCAATTCTTTTCCCTTCCCAGAAGGTTTCGCGGTGCCGCCTCCAACATATAAAAAGTCAGACAAGTCCTCCAATTCTTTTCCCTTCCCAGAAGGTTTCGCGGTGCCGCCTCCAACAGATAAAAAGTCCTCCAAGTCCTCCAAGTCCTTTGCCTTCCCAGAAGGTTTCGCGGTGCCGCCTCCAACAGATAAAAAGTCAGACAAGTCCTCCAAGTCCTCCAAGTCCTTTCCCTTCCCAGAAGGTTTCGCGGTGCCGCCTCCAACAGATAAAAAGTCAGACAAGTCTTCCAAGTCCTTTGCCTTCCCAGAAGGCTCCGCGGTGCCGCCTCCAACAGATAAAAAGTCAGACAAGTCTTCCAAGTCCTTTGCCTTCCCAGAAGGCTCCGCGGTGCCGCTTCCAACAGACAATAAGTCAGACAACTCCTCAAAGTCCTCGTCATACATATCATTTCTTTGGTTCTCCGCTTGACTCCCTGTCTCTGCTACGCCATGTGCACCTAAATCCATTTGTGCCTCCTTCAGCTCCCTCTCGTACTTGGCCTCCTCCAAATCACGGTCATGTTTCCTTTGTCGTTCGGCCAAGATTTGTGTCAAAGTTACAGCTTCACTCTGCGCAAAAGCAGTTCGACCAGTTGTCTCAAGTTCGGCGAGCTGAATCCGAGACTCTTCAATAGCTTCTAGCAAGTTGATCTCCGCCATCAATTTTCTGGACAACGAGTGTGGTGATAATCGCCTAGAGGGACACAATAGCTCATCTCGTGTGCTTCCGTGCCGCCGAGGAGCACGATGATAGTTCCGGCGGCCGGTTCGAGGCGGCTGGCTGTGTCGGCGAGAGTTAAATGAACTGTAGCTCATTTGCGATCTGGAGGTTGAGTATTCGCTTGAGACAGCGGATGAATCTGTGGTATCGCTAAATTGCGAAGGTGACATATCTTCGTTCATGCGATTACTGGTGGATGGTCCGCTGACGCTTGTGTCTCGAAGGGATTCAAATCTTTCCGAGGACTCCTTACGGCCATCAGCTGGAATGATCTCTGGATTGTTATCACGTTTGGACAACTCATAAGCGCTTTCAATGTGAGACTGAGTGTCCTTCTGTTCCGAATCATGACTATCGGGCTCGTGAGACTGAATGTTCCTCTGTTCCGAACCATGACGATCAGGGTCGTGAGACTGAGAGTCCTTCTGTTCCGAATCATGACTATCAGGGTCCAAATCTTCTGATGGCTGGTCACCGCTAGCACTACCATCAATGATGTCTCCCCCAATGACCTCGTCATCGCAGGTCGCCTCCATCTCGTTAGCATCATGAGGGGCAACGAGGGTAGCAATGGTAAATTTCCTTGTAAAGATATTTATCACGCTATACTTGTCCCCTATTGGTGGAGACTCCAGATCACCTAATGGCGGAAGCGGCTCAACGTGCTGGTGGGTCTTGTTTCGGATTGATTCGGTCTGCCTTAGACTAGGAGCCACGTGTCCTTTTGTCAAATCCCTTAGCGGCTGGTCTGCACAGCTTTCAGTTACGGAAATATCATCGTCAGTGTTGGGCAGGGTCTGCACATGCTGGTGGGTCTTGTTTCGGATTGGTTCGGTCTGCCTTGGACCAAGGGCCACGTCTTCTTTTGTCAAATCCATTGACAGCTGGCCTGCATAGCTTTCAGTTACGGGAATATCATCGTCAGTGTTGGGCAAAGTCTGGACATGCTGGTCGGTCTTGTTTCGAATTCGATCCGTCTGCCTCGAACTAGGAGCCACGTCTTCTTTTGTCCAATCCATTGACGACTGGTCTGCACAACTTTCAGTTACGGAAGTATCATCGTCAGTGTTGGGCAGGGTTCGGATAATACGTTGATGTAATGCTTCAGCTGTGACCATTAGCGCTTGAAGTCTCTGAAACGTGCCATTGGGTTGAGTTCGCTGAGATGGTGTTGGATGACTAGTCGTCCTTGGTGATGTGTTAGGCTGAGGGAGCCACGCCTGTCGTGGAGTATTGTGCTGATCAGGCTGTGCGAGTTCGGTTTCAATTTCCTTATGTATAGGTGCTGAGAGTGAACGGTGAAGGGGGGCTATTGCAGTGACGTCTTTTGCATTTGAGCGAACGCGCTTGAGGGCACGCTTCTGTACCTCAGCCTCATCAGTCTCCATATGAATGATTCCGGCGTCCTTGCGCTGGTCGACATCATGGTTTAGCCGCTCATTCAAATCTGCAGCAATGTCTTGGGAATCTGGGTAGTCTTTTGACCCGCTGTCTGCCATCCCATCCCCAGACTCTGTATGTACTGTTGCCTTGAAGGTAAATCCACGCTTCGTGTCGGTCTCTACCTTCCTTCTAAGAATCTCCCTTTGTTGTCGACGATACAGATCAAGCTTGTCGAGCATGTCTGCGGTCTTCTTGGCCTTTTCTTTGTGTGCGTGCCTTTTGGCTTTTTCTTCTAGATCCCGCTGTAGTAACTTTTGCTGCATGTACGCCCGCACCTTCTCGGCGTCGTATGGCTTCATTCTCATATGATGATGCTCTTGCGGCACCTCCTCTATATCTAATCCTTTTTTCTTCTTCCTCTGCTTCCGCTTTTGCTTCATGTACTCGCGGACTTCTTCGGGATTGTAAGGTTTCTGCTTAATCGCTGGTTGAACGGCAGCTCCGTCTCGGATCGTGCTGCCATCGTTGAAGCCGCTAGTTGCTGAATAACGATCCACTTGTCTGGGCCGCGAATACTCCCCGGGAGGACCAGTGGAGGCAGAGTCTCCAATCTTTGGCTTCTTCCGCGGACTCAGGACAACATTGGAGCTGGGTCGAAGCTCTTCCAAGGTGTCCGACCTTATGGTACTCCCTTGCTTACGCTGAAAGTGACGACGGGGTGGGGAGAGTGGAGTTGTCGCTGGTTGCAAGGAGCTTTGCAAAGAAGTCATGGGTAAAACATGGTAATCCGCAACTGACAGTGTTGATTGAACAACCTGAATAACATCGCCAAACAAGGAATGAATTTGAAGATCAATGATAGGTTGACATACGCTGCATATTACCTTCCTCGCCCGCTTTCGCTGTTCCCCAGCCTTTGCAGATCCTCCCACCCCTGCGTGAAAGGAGACCTTCCGGGAACCCATGCCAGACGTCACTAACCCTCCTACCTTCCCCAAATTAGATCTCGTATTGCCATCGCTAGTGGGAAAGCTACTTGGACCGCCCGGAGGAGCCGTTGACGGGGCAGGTGCTCGTCGAGCTTTGTGAATGCGCCGTTCTCGATCTGGTAGGCTGTTTATGAAAATTGGTATTCTATCAGGATCCACATGTCCTGTGAAGCTCTGTGTGGTCGACATGCCAGCGCATCCACTGTTGTTGCCAAATGGTGAGGGATGAAGGATGGGATGCGGCAGGGAAATGGCATCGCGCGTGATAGTAGGAAGCATCACAACAATCTACAAGAACGGTGACAACAGCTGAGCTGCTTTAGATGGTTGCAGGTCATGAATTCTTGTTTGTCATGGGCAGTGTGATCTATTGCAGAATGCGGAATGGTTTTCCGTAATACACTATATAACATCACGCGCGTTCTCCATAGGCATCCAAACAAAAGTGCATATTCCCTGTACACGTAATCAGGTAAAAACAACACAAACGCTCAAGCGCTGTCCTCAGTCTTGTCTTGGGCAACCTCCAGATCAGGCATATCTGCACGGTAATGTCAGTACGCTTTTATTACTTGTCGGCAATGACAGTTCAAGAACGTCCATACCTTCATCGTCCTCGTCATCGGAATCCTTTTCGTCCTAGCAATGTGAAACAAATGAGAACGCCGATCCTAAATGTTCAGAATCTACGGAAGTACTTACAGAGCCAAAATCCATTCCACCAGCTCCGAAATCCATACCACCCATACCACCCAGACCACCCAGACCACCCAGACCACCCATACCGCTCATACCGCCCATACCACCCATTCCTTGGAATTGGGAGAAATCCATTCCCTCAAATCCGGCTTGTACAGGTTCATCATCTTCATCCTCATCCTTCCATTTGGAGAAGTCAGTCTTGAGCCAGTGAAGTTTGCCCTTCTCTTTAGTAAGGCGAGGCCAGTACTCTTGTCCTTTCTCTTTTTTGGCAAGAACAAACGACAGGTTTCGCGCAGTGATGCTTTGCTTTGACGTCTGCCAGTTTAGACAAAGTCAATATTGTGTATATATGTATTTGGCACCTAAAGAATAGTATAAACGTACCTCAGGGTCGACCTCTTTGTAAAAGTCTATGGTCACAGCGTATTGATTTCCCCGTGCCTTTCCGGCAAACTTCAAACTGGAAGGGGTTACGTCAATTTTCGGATCTTCGACATCGCTGAGGTTGATGGTAACGAATAGTTCGTCAGCTCTTTGAGCCCAAAGGACCTCTGGTGCAAGAGCTTTGTCTCTAGATGACAATGCACGATGAGCGAAAAAACGACAAGATCAGGATGTGCCCCAAACAGCGAAGAACCGCTTGTCAGATCCTCTCAGGTCACCAGCAAGTCAAAACACTTACGTGGCCATCATGTTCCGCGGCGTGAGAAAGCAATCGAGGAGAAGGGGGAAGATCTTACAGAAGAGATCAGATTGGGGGAAGCAAAGCTTTTTGTGCCCTGGGACTCGCAGTGCCACCACTGGGACGGCCCAGTGACACGCGCGTCCTCCAGAAGTTTCCCGAACGTTTTCAGCATCGAGTCCGATGATGCAAGTGGCATTTTGCATTTGCTTTTTGGCAACTTACTCTCGCCTGCCATGATGTATGTTTTTGCGAGTTTTGATACCATGTCTGTCCAAATGTCCCCATTTTTGATAGTCGATGACATACTGAAAGCAACTCGTGTTCTTTAACCTTTCATGAGGACCAGATTTGAAAGGAACATCTTTGACCCTGCCCTACAAGATGAAAGCATGAGTGCAAATTGCCACATGGATAGGCAAATGCATGATCGATCATCGTAATAAACAATACACAAAACTATGGTGCCAGTGCAATACCTTCCATGGCACGTGACTATGCAATGACAAACGAAGGACTACACGATTGACTTGTAGGAGTTTGGGAAGCTCTTTTGGTTTTCTCATCGGTGGGTTTCTTAGCGGCCTGGAGTTTGTCGCGCATGGGCCCGTAGTCAGTACACCCCCCTAGTCCACTATTATTTGCGCGACACACCATACATGGTGCATCCCATTTCGCAGTCGTCGTCTGCCCACAAAGCGTGCTCCGTTTCCCAGGCGATTCCCATTCCGGCAACGACTCTCAAGCGGCCGGCAAACGAAGCACTTTCTCCTGAACCTCCAAAGCATAGCCCACACGTTCCCCGTACTCCAACACCAAGCCAAGGTTTCCAAGAATTTGCAATAAATTATAACAGAGATCCCGAGCTAGTTCCGTCAACTCCGTTCCACGCTGCCGGCCCGATGGAGGTGGATCTACCTACCATAGCTGAGCATTCTGAGAAGTCTCGACCATCATCGTCGGTAGTGAACGACGGAGAGCTGAATAATGGAGCTGTAATGGCACAAATTGGCAACTGGACTGGAGTTGCGACAGTGAACGACATTTATGACCCTGAGTCTGAAGCCTCACCAAAAATCCCGCCAGTCTCAGCCTTCAACAGTATATCGGTTGTTCAGCCAATGGAGCAGCCACCGCCCCCGTCAGAGCAAAACTCTTTGAGACTTGCTATCCAAGAAAGCATTAGAAAAAAGAGCGAGGGCATATATTTCCTGCTTGCAATACCATGGTATATCACCTATAGATGTACTAGTAATGGCTGCCAAATTTATATTGATCATCACTGCAGGTTTCGAAATTGGAGCGAATACGTAGTGTCATCCGAGTCTGACAAAGGCAGATCCCTCGACGAGCCTCCAGGCCCAATCAATAACTCTACCCTCTTTACCACTAAAACGTGCACTCAAATCCAAGATAACCTTCGAGAATCGGTGGACTTTGTTGCTGTATCAGAAGATATCTGGCGGCTCTTGTTGAGATGGTAATTTCGGAAGTACTCTTAGTGAACAGCTGATCGGTGTCGTTGATGTGCTATGTTTAGGTACGGGATGGTGCACGAAAGGCATGCAATTCAACGGCGTACCTTTAAAGAACCCAAGTCACTCGAATCGAAATGGGTTTTAGACGTATATCCTCATCAGCTCGAAATTGTCCATATTAACGCATCCAAAGACCGATCTGAGATCAAACGATGTGCTCTTTTCCGTGGTGAGACGTTATCTGAAGCGCTGCAGCAAATATGCAAACCGCTGCAAGTTGAGACTTCAAACGCACGATTATGGTTAATCGCAAAGAAAGGAAGAGTACTTGTAACTGATTTAGACAAGACTCTTGGGGAGCTAAATGTGGATCGAGTGCAGCGTGCAGAGTTGGAAACAAAGGAACCCGGGACTCCTTGGCAGGTTAACGGCGCGGATGACGCGCATGCGAGGGCGGATACGAATGCGCTTAGAGCTGATGCAGACAAAAGCGATGGTAATAAAGAGCAATCTGCGACCGGAGACAAGTCCAGGCAAGCTGAAAGATCTGATACATGAAGAGAAGATCCTGTCATAGGACTGATCAGGATTTTTTGAAATAGGGCAGAGATTCATGAAAGCGGACTTCTTCCGGAGCTCGCAGATCCTGTGGACACCAGAGATGCCCTGTCCCCTATCTCCATACCCATAAAAGCCGAGACAAAACGGGAACGGTTAATGAGGAGGTTGAATAATCCCTTGGCGGAGGACGAAGGGAAAGATGAAGCCGATAAAAAGCCTCTTATGCTAGGGTATCAACCTTTGTCACCAGTCTCACGTGAAGATCCAGCACCACAAACAAAGACGACATCCCACGTGGCGATATCGGGGTTCAGTCTGACTCGTGCCAGAACAAGACTGCCCGTGGGAGCAACGGGTCTCAGCAACCTCGGAAATACGTGCTTTATGAACTCTGCATTGCAGTGTTTAAGCAACACGCCGCCTCTCACAAAGTATTTTCTGAAAGGGCTGTGGGAAAAGGAGCTAAACCGAGACAATCCCCTCGGAATGAAGGGAGAAGTAGCAGCTGCATATGCCGATCTTATCCTCCAATTATGGCGCCCTGATCCGGATCGACCTGGTAGCTTTGCTCCACGCGGTTTTAAAAGCACGATCGGCCGGTTCAATCCAATGTTTTCGGGTTACTCGCAGCAAGACTCTCAAGAGCTTCTTGGCTTCTTGGTTGATGGCTTGCACGAGGACCTGAATCGTATTTTAAAAAAGCCGTATATTGAAGCTCCCGATATGGATGGGCAGCCTGAGGAAGCGATCGCAGCAAAGGCTTGGGAAATATATAGTCTGCGGAATGACTCCGTCATCGTTGACCTCTTCCAGGGCCAGTACAAAAGTCGCGTTGAATGTACCGTCTGCGGCAAGTGGTCAGTAACTTTCGACCCGTACATGTTTTTATCGGTCCCAATTCCAGATCATCGACAAATCATATTATCGGTACGGACGATGCCGCAACCGGGGATTGGAAAGAGCATTGAGGATGATATTCCTCGGGTCTTGCATCTAATTTTACCAAAGGATGCGACGATTGCGACACTTAAGGAGCTGGTCATACGCCGAATGGGTTGGAACGATCCGGACCGCGGTACAACTGGAGTGTATGCGGTGGAGATCTACCAGGGCAAAATCTTCAAAATCTTTGAAGATACAGAACCCGTAACCTCTATTGGTACCCAGGATGAGGTTTATGTGGTGGAATTGGGAGCTCCTGACTGGGATCTTTTCGAAGTTCCCCACGCGGAGAGGACTGTGGCGAACATCAGACACATCCCCGTTTATTTTACACGTGAGCCTACACATATGTCACGTTCTGATCGGGAGCAATTTGGAATTCCCTTGATAGTATCCGTCCCAGCTACAATGCGAACAATCATCACACCAAACCGTTGTGGAGGACTAGAACAACAAGAAGTTGATGAACTTTTAGACGCTATTTCGAGTGAACGTCTTTATCGGGCAGTACTGAGGACTTTGCGAAGGTATACGAGATTTCCACTGTTTCTCCAGCAAGGATCGATGCGCATCCAAGATGTATATGAGAAACTTCAAGAATTACAGCAAATGCGCCGAATAGAGGGAAAAGAGTCCTTCATGAACGACTTCAGGTGCATTCCTGATGAATACCCGGAATCCTTCGATTCTTGTGCCAGTGACGTGTTACTTGATTTTGAGAACTCAATTCGCTTTGTCGAGAGTAGTCCCAATGTTAAATGTGAGCCCATCAAAGATCTCTTCGTCCTGTCCGTTTCCCAAGCTGCACAACGTTACTCCCCGCCCGTGATAGACTTTTATCAGAGCGGGTGGAACAGTTACCAATCAGAAAGAACTTTACTATATGATGGGGAAGAGCTGTACAAGAAGGAGCAACAGCAAAAGCAGAATGATGACGAAGACTCGACAGATGCAGATGATGAGGCATCCGATTCGGATCCGATGCAGACACATTCATATGTTCGCCGTCCTCGATCTCTCTCGAGAGGGCATCAAGCCATACGGAGAACTGGAGGAACCTCTGCGAGTGACTCAGACGACGACGATAAACTGCGCTTGAGTTCCATTCGCTCATTCAAAGCGGAAGCGGTACTGTTCATGGAGTGGAGAACCACGGTGTCCCGTTACGTATTGCGGGAGGACGCGTTCACGGTGGGTAATGAGTTGATACATTGTCTCAAGGGCTGCGGAACTTACATCTACTTGTCCTCATCAGACGCGCGAAGATCCGGGCAATGAAGCGGTGCGTGCTGAGTGGGAAGCGAAGCGTAACGGACCAAGGAAAGTAATTACCCTGCAAGACTGTTTTGATGAATATCGGAAAGAAGAGGTGCTTGGAGATGACAACAGTTGGTATTGCCCTCAATGTAAAGAGCATCGACCGACAAAGAAAAAGCTTGATATCTGGACTGTACCAGAGGTAATCAACTGGGCGCATGAATTGCTAACGATCAAACCTAATGCGACGTGTTATTTAGATTCTAGTATTTCATCTGAAACGCTTTTCCAATGCCGGGCGCGGATACCGTAGTATGATGAGCGATAAAATAGACTCATATGTAGACGCGCCTATACAAGGTCTTGACCTCACCAAGGTGGTGGTTGGCAAACAGCCTGCCCGCAAATGGCGGTCACGTGGATCGTTGCCAGAAGAGAACAAGGAAAAGCCCGCAGAAACCGCGAGGGCTCAACATGTCGAGGTGGGTTCAGGTGGAAGCGCCCTGACAAGCGACGGCGTGTTTGCGGACGAAATGGACGTAGGGGAACCCAGTGTCAATCTGGCGCAATCGGCAGCTGAAGCCTCTGCAGTGCGATCAGAAAAGTTTGATGACTCCTTACGGGCTTCGGCATCGTCGGAACTGGATCGCATGGAGGTGTCTGAACGTGTCGATTCAGAAACTATCGATACATCATTAGACAAGCCCCTGGTCGATGCAGATGACGAGGAGTTAGAAGCTGCGTATCAAGATGCGAAAACCCGGACGCCCAAACCGGAGGAGGCAGAGGGGACAGGCGCACCCTGCGACGAAGAACGCGAAGGGATCGGATATTTGTATGAACCCGCTACGGATTCTGACGATGAGGAGTCTCTCGTCTACGATTTGTTCGCGGTGTCAAATCACTATGGGGGGCTGGGAGGTGGACACTGTAAGTGGCCAGCACAGAGGCACAGCCGTAATTACAGATTCTTATGCGTTCATTCCAGATACTGCCTACGCCAAAAATGCTTTGGATTCGCAATGGTACCATTTCGATGACAGTCATGTCAGCAAAACTGACGAATCCGATGTTATGGTTAGTAAGTGCTATATACATGTACGTCTCTGCCGTTCTAACTGGTTTAATTATAGACGTCTGCGGCGTACCTCCTCTTCTATCAACGCCGACACAAAGGCAACAAAACGGATCTTACCAAAGTTCTGGAAGAAGTTCAAAAACGCGCCGCTGCGGCGGAAGCAGCCGCAGCCGCCGCCAGAGCCGAACAATCTTCGTTGAGCTCTTTTTTACGTACGCCTTCCGCTCCATTTCCTATGCCGCTGGGCACCCACTTATCACAGCCGTCTGGAACGGGCTTGGTCTCGCCGATTACTACATCAGCCGAAACGACGCGCAACAATTCGCCTCAGGTGTCACCCGCCGGGTCGCTGGGTGGCTCGGCTATTAGTAGTGATAATGAAGAGTCCGAGACGGTTAATCGGGAGCGGAAGGCGAGAACAACACCGGGTGTGTACCTTGATCACGGCCCATGTCTTCCATCTTCAGAGCGTACGCCTTTTGGTCCAATCCGGGAGTCAAGCCCTGCGGCTTCTTTTTCTGTGGGTTTTGACTGGGGCCAGCGACAATCTTCTGTGAATGACGGAGGAGATACGTTTTTAGACGCAAGAGGGTCCCGGTCGCCCACTGAGCACGGCTGGGGATGGCCATCACCAGACGCCAGGCCCTCTTTTGGGTGGAGCGATAACGCCCTGGAACAAGATGAGACAGATGCGTCTTATCAGACACTGCCATTGATGGATGCAGAGGCTGACAGACTAGAGGCAACAGATGTTGAGATTGAGGATTTGGTTTCTGATGAGGCTGACGAGTCTAGAAAGCCACAGACTGTGAATGGGGATGCGAACGGTCAAGATGCAGAGGTTAATGGGGGCTACGAACAAGAGGAGCAGTCAAGGGGAACCGAAGGAGGCGAAAGCAATTTAAAAACATCGTTACAGCACGTTGAGTATGATAATCCCGGCACTATATCACAGGCGGCAAGTGGTGACGAATAAGAGCGTGAATGAATGTATTTAGAGATGTGTGCCATTAGCATTATACATAGTGTGGAGGTGATTGAAAATGGCACTAGAACTCATTATTATCCGGATTAATCCGGTCAGTCATATCGCATAATCAGAACCCCCTCTATCGCTCAGATTGGTGTGGCATGCATGTAATTTTTTTTTTAAACTGCGGTGAGGCGCATGCCAAAGGTCTATAAAAGGGGGACCTTCTGTCTCTTTCCCCTTTCCTCTTTACCCATCCTCGACTCGAAGCATCTGTGCAATTCTTCTCATCACGACTGTCGGTCAAATCATGAGAATACAGATGTGGTGGTGCCGAGGACCTCGCCCACCCGACTACAACAACAACATAACCCCTTGCAACGCTGCTACTACTATATTGCTACGATCGCAGGTATATCCATATGATTTTTCCCACGCGCAAATTACCCAGTCTAATTCCCATTTACCTTAGTATCTGAACATCCTCCGACTAAAGAATTTCGGAATCAAGGGCTTAGTAGGATTTCTCTCGTGTGGTGAACTTAGTTACCCCGTTAGAACAACCGTAATGTATTGCATGTGTAATTGGGCCTAGTAGTAGTTGGTTGGTTGTAAGGAGGGAATTACTTGGCTTTTCCGAACCAGTTGTCGCTGGTTTATTCCCTGGTGTAGTAGCTAGTGCCAATTTCTGTCACCTCTACACTATATACTGGCTTTTGACCAAAGTCTGATTTCCCAAAATAATGTTTCAAATATACAATGCGGAAAAACTTGGGATTCGCGAATGTCACTATCGTTTGCGGACATACCCTCGCTCCGCAACGTTCCATCCTAAAGATTCACCACGGGATGATTCCGATCCTCGTCGCTGCTGCGGCGACGCTACTTGCCCAGGTTTTAGTGCCTGTTGCTGCAATTTCATGGCAACCCGACTGTCATGACGTGGGGGAATTGGCGAAGAAGGTGCGACGCTGAAAGATGAGGGATCCTCGGCAATGGGCTCCCAGGGTATGTTCCTGGTTGTGCTTCGAACGGCGGGAGGAGGAGGGCCTTCGTCCCTACTTCCTCGTCGCGTAACGTTTCGAATGGGCACTGCATCGGACAAGTAGGTCACGGTAGTTTCGTCACGGCTCGACTTACGTCCAGGAGTTTGCAGGTCGCCATCTATGCTCCCCTTCCGGTACCGTGTAACGGGACCACGTTCCAGGCTGCTGGATCGGCGAGGATAGTATTCCCCCTCTTCTCCATTCGCAATTCTTTCCACGCTACCAGGGCGCAAGCGGCGCGCGCCTTCTTGTGTCTCCTCCCGACTCAACTTGCGCACACGCGATAACCGTTCTAAGCCATCTGACCTTGCATGGTCATGCGCATTTTCCCGGCTGGTTCTTCGGAGATTCTGCACTTTGTCGACACTTCCTTTTCTTGGCGGGAACTCTTGCATACTAGCATCGCTCCCGCGTCGGCCCATGTCGTACTGCAGTGGTGGCACATCGTCATTCTCCCAATCTGGAACAACATGCAGAGCCACATTATGAACGCCACCGTAGCCGCTCTTACTCTTTGTAACCCTCCGTTTGGCTGGTCCCGCAACTCGCTCATGCGGCGCTTTCGCCAGAAACTCGTCAGTGACTATGGCTACTGCCTTCTCCCGAACCGGCCCGTCCCACTCCATAGCCATTTCCGGCTCTACTGCATCCACAACGAGACCTGCTAATGCTCTTGCCAGCGCGGCATCAAGCGCATTTGTACGATCTGAGGGCGCCCTGCCAATCTCTTCTAAATATCGAGCTCCTCCCAAACACGCCGCTTCAAAACAAGCGGCTTTAGACCGCCCTCGCGCCTGCCACCGAGCGTATCGGGACAGCAAGGCGGTAAAATAACCTCGCAGATAAGGTTCCTGTGCTATCTCATCTTCGTCCAATATTGCAAGGAAGTCTTCGACCATGTCAGGGAGGTCCAACGGGTCGGGTTCCAGTGCACGGGGACGATGCCTTCGGTGTCGAACTTGCCGCTCCCTTGGAGGCGCTTGGCGGGAACCTTGGCTAACTGCATTACTCCGAGGCTCTTTACCTGTCACTGAGCTCAAACTTGGTCGTCGATCACGCCGAATTGGGGTTGCGGGATACGCCGACTCGACTCTCGCTGGTTCAGCTTCAACCTCATGATTTCCTCGTCGCTTGAAAACGTTGGAGAGAACGTCGCCAAGACTGGGCCTTCTCTGTGACTGGGTCGCATGCACTGGTGAGGAAAGCATGGGATGGTGACAAAATGATTTACAAAGGAAGCGAGAGTACCCCTACGAGATGGCCAGCACCTTCAGAAATGATTGCCACATCGCCTCTCCACTTTTGTCAAGAAAGGACATGCGAAACAGGAGCCGAGTGATAGTGATTATGTCAGCATATCCACACTTAGGTGGTTCGAAGCCTTAGCTTAGCATAGGTTAGGGATATTAATTCTTCCTCTTGTCATGCGATTCCACAATTCCACAAAAATATTCCCCTATGCAGCAGTGGTTTGGCTTAGCATGAAGCAAAATCCGGTGCTTCCAAAGATTAAAGAACGATATTTCCACCCCAAGCGGATATTCTATCCACACGATTACTTTGACTGGCGACCGCTACTAGCGCGTTTGGGGTGATCTGGGCTGACAAAACATGCACTGTCGTGTGAGTTCACTGACTGCGATGCATAGTTGGAAATAATACTTATATTAAAGAAGCCTCTGTTTATGAAAAGTCGGTGTGGCCGAGTGGTTAAGGCGTTGGACTTGAAATCCAATGGGCTCTGCCCGCACAGGTTCAAACCCTGTCGCCGACGATGAAACAACCGCGTTGATCATTTTTTCCTTTCCACCACGCTAGCTCGCGCCTGTTGCCTTTAAACCATATTTGTTTAATTTTTATGATTGTGTTTTTCCAATGCACGCTACGATAGATAGCTGCATCAACAATTTCATTATTGAGCCGACCATAATTAATATTTCGCCCCGAATTATTATTGCACGGATGTATAAGAAAGAGAATTATGAGTATCAAGTAAATAACCATATGAAAAATCAATAGATATACAAAATCTCGCAGAGCCCGGCTCTATCCACTACATGACGCTAGAAGTACCATCATACATTGCCGCCACCTTTGCTTTATAATGCAACTGTGATCATAAAAGATTTTAACACATACGTAAAAAACAGTAAGCGAAAAGACTTCACACACCTTTGCATCGTGACGCTTCAACTTGAACGTTGGTGTAAGGAAGCCGAGAGAGGGAAAGTCCTTGGGCTCTAGTACCACATCCTTGACAATTTCGAAGCCCTTCAACTCCCCACTCCGTCTTACCCACTGGGACACTTCTTGCAAGAAGGTCTTACGAACAACCTTGTTCTCGCACAGCTCTTCCAGGGGTAAAGTCGCGTCCACATCCTTAACCTTTTCTGTGACAAAATTCACAAAGGCGGCCTTAGACGGGTGGATGATGGCCACTAAATGGGCTTGGGTAGATTCTCCAGTGACAAAGATGGAGTCGACCAATTCGTGTCTACTGTAGGCATTCTCCACCTTTTCTGGTGAGACATATTCCCCTTGGGCAAGTTTAAAGAGATTTTTCTTCCTGTCCACGATTTTGAGGTTGCCGTGCTCAGTCCATATGCCAATATCGCCCGTATGAACCCAGCCATCTTCATCGATTGTCTCCTTGGTCTTCTCTTCATCTTTATAATATCCAGGGAACGCGGTGCATCCTTTGAAGCAGATTTCTCCCGCAGGGGGATTGCTGCTAGAGAGATAGTTCATGTCGGGTACATCCACTAATTTGATGTAAACACCAGGGATGGGGACACCAATGGTTCCGGCTGATTTGGTATCGCAAGGATAGGTAATAGAGGTGCCGGTCATGGATTCCGTTTGCCCGTAGCCCTCGATAACTGGGCAAGAGAAGGCAATCTTCAGAAAATCCAAGACTTCGCGGCTGATGGGTGCGGCACCAGTGTACATGAATCGAACACGGCCACCTAGCAGTTCCCTCAACTTGGCAAAAACAACCTTATCCCAGAGAGCGTGGTTGTACATGTTACGTGACAGCCATGTGAGTTTGCCATTGTATGCGGTCTGATTGAATCAGGATTTATGTATAAGAAGGCAGTTTTCCGTCAATGAATTATGATTACATCTAGCTGAACTTACGTGAAAAAGAGCTGCTTTGGCCCACCCTGCCTTGGAAACTTGAGCCATGACGCTATCATAGATTCGATTATAAATACGGGGGGTTCCAGCAAAGATTGTGGGCTTCAATTCTGCCACATCGTTCATTAGCTTCGTTACATCTCCTTGCCAGAACCCAATACGGCCCCCGTGACCGATGACTACTGTCTGGCAACTCATTTCGAATACATGAGCCATGGGGAGATATGAAAGCATAACGTCGTCGGGCGTGAGAGGAAGGTCGAGGCCGTGTTCGATGCCGAGGGCGACACGATCATAAATGGAAGAGCACATTTTGTGCGTGATAATGGCACCTTTCTGAAAGCCAAAATAAGTTTGTACTATGGCCTTACGGAGAGATATCATATGCTGAGGATGAGACATACAGGCATTCCAGTGGTCCCACTAGTGAAGCAAATCCAGGCTATATCACCTCCCTTGGGAGCGTTAGGTTCAGTAAGCTCTTTTGCCCCAAGCTTTTCCAACTCTGGAAACGTTAGAAGCTCAACTGTGGACATGCAACTGGCGTAAGCAAGAGACAATTGAGGAATTGCAAATGCTCCGACGTGAACAAACCGTTCAATATTTCAGCCTGCTTCTTTTGCTCATCGGACGGCTCGTCAAAGGTGACAACGATTTTGAGGGTCGGCACTTTCGAACTGGCAGAGAGCAGGACGGGTACCTAAATGAGTCACTAAGCATCAGCGTCTGCTACATAGACCGCTAAGAAGAATGAAATAACATACCTGCTTTGAAGTTGTAAACACAACTTTGCATTCAGTAAGGTTCAACATGTGGACAAGAACAGCTTCATCCGACACCAACGTGTCGTAGATGGGGACGACCGTACCACTGTACACGAAGAGTTTGTTAAGGGAACTTGCTACTATTCATATTGCTGCAAATGCCACAAACCCCTGACGAAATGCGGCAAACTGAGCGATCGCATACTCGGGGCAATTTTTTGCAAAGATGCCAACCTTGTCGTTGGGCTGATGACCGAGAGCTACAAGCGCAGACCTGAAAATGAATCAGACATTAATGTCATATCGCAAGCCAAGTCGTGAATGAAAATGCCCTTACGCAATACGTTCAGCGCGGGTGTAAACTTCGTTGTATGTCTCCCTTTTTTTTGATAGATTCATTAATGGTATCAGTGTGTGCACACCAAGCCTTGAACTTGATGAAATATATACCAAACAAAAGGCCCCGCAACGCCGTTGATCATTGTACGTCGGCCCAAACATGGTGCATCACCAGAGCGCCTTCGGCCTTCTTCGAAAATATCCCAGGCTGTCAGGCTCCCAAACTGCTTGACACGGTACTCCCGCTCAAACGTCAGATAGTGACATCGTGGTTTTCCCTCGCCAGGTATGGCGGGGGCACCTGGCACTTCAATTGCCAGCTTTTCTGGGATTGTGTAGCGGGGTTGAGGGATTGTCATATTGTTCGTGTGTGCTGATGCTCGCAACCAGGGTGAGGACGACGAGGCAAGACCTTTATACCCAGGGACCCTGCCGGATTTTTTAGCCGTTGCTGAATTGCCAAACTTTGTACATCATTCCGATGGCGCTTTCCTCGCATTTTCAAGCTAGTTTTTAGGTTCTCGCAAGCTGAGCGCGAATTTCAAGTTCAATTTCCCAAATCGAGGGGATTGGTTGCTGAGCTAATAAACGCTTGCACCGAAACTTTGTGCTAAAACCTTACAATTACTTTGGCAGAAAGACAAGAACTTTACTGATCTTTGGGCAAAAAGATGTAAAATGCCGGGCTTGTCAGCATGGTGCACCGGAGATCTATTGTGGGTGCTCATCCATACCATCGCCCACCAGACGCTGTCATTGTGGATGGTGGGCGCGTTGGTATGCAAGATTGTCGTATATTGTATGCATCAATAAGCGCCCTCCAAGTGGCCATGTCAATATCCACCACTGCCTGATAGCGCTTTATTTCATTGTCTTCATAGTCTTCGGGTCGTGGCGGCGCTGCCGGTTCTACGAAAATAGGTGCATGTATTTAGTCGAGATAATATCTCTTCCAATATCTCATTCTGTTGTAGTAATACATTACCCAATATCAGTTCTCCTTCCTCATCTTCATTCAGCTGTACCTTCCCATCTCGTATCAAGAAGCTCAAGTAAAATAGGTTCTCCACCGTTTGACCAAAGGATTCTGGATTTACGATAAATGTAAAGAAGTTGATATTGCCGACCTCATGTAAGCGCTTCGCTATTTGGAATACGAGAGTGGTTGTTTCATTTTCTTGCTTGTCGAAATCACTCTCCTTGAGCTTTGAACACATAGGGTGTCAGGGTTAACCTGACCAGAACCTGATGATCTTCTGTAATCCTACCTGCTGGGGTCTTTGTAGGTCTTCCTTGTTCTTCACCAACTTCGCAACTTTGCGTGGTTGGTTACGAATCTTTGGTTCTACCGCAAGCGGGCCTAACCTAATGATTCCAATGGTTATCAAACCCAAACAGAAAAAATGGCCACAATATGGTAACCCCTCACATAAAATCGATTGTGGGAGCTTTCAGCAGTGCTCTCGTTGCCGCTTGTCCCAAAGCGTACCAATCCAGATGAACTTCAGGACTCTCTGCATATTCCTCGTCCTCTTCCTCCAGTTGTCTCTCCGTACTCATTGTGGCCACCAGCTTTCCAATCCAATCATCCACATTAAAGCTCCCGCCATCGAGCCGCATCCGCTGTGCTTTCTGTACACCCAATTCGGCAGCTGTAACCAGCAGCCTCGAATCCAGAGTCGCTTCCTGTGTTGTATAGACTTGAGACGAACGGACACATTGACATGAGATTTCCTTGGCTTCACGCCAGCACGGAGTTGCACAGGCCCACCTTGTTGAAAGAGCTCATTGGCCTTTTGAATGGTTCTCACAAGTTGCTCAGATTCCAGTTCATTCCGCTTGCCTGAGCGAACGCAACGAGCAATAATCAGCTTCCATGATAAACTGCAGCATCCGTTGTTTGCTTCCTACCCTCCGTATGTGCAATCAATTCCCGATACACTGCCCGTACTCTCCTTCTCTCTTCTGGAGTAGGCTGAACTTCAAAATCCTTTGCCGAGCGTTGGCCACCGCGCCGACCCTGCCTGTCTTCATCCCCAGCGGTCATCCCGGCACCACCCTCTTCCGAGGGACTATCTGAATAGCTGTCAGCCATTCCCTGTGAGACTCTAACGTCCACGGCTGTGAGCATATCCAAATTGGGGGACGCAAATGGTAATTCCCGTGGCGGAGGGATTGATAGTGACACCGTCGAGTCCGCGCTGTCAGACAAGTCATTAATTTCACAGCCGCCCACGTGATGTGGTTGTACCTAAGCAATGACCATCCACAGCGCAGCGGCAATTGTTGGAGATCATTGTGACCAACGAACTCACAATCATGAAGCCACGAAATTCCTCTTTGCACTAGAATGTCACAAACATTTCCCGAGTTTCCTCTTCCTTTTGGAAATTTCAACCAGGATGATCCGAATGGTAAAAACGATTCTGAACTATCAGCTCGACGCTGCCATTTACTGACATCAAGTACCCAGTCAAGTTCTGGACGTTCGTTGTTTATACCTGGGTGGTGTCCATAGTTTCCCTTTTCTATTTTTTTTATTTAAGCCGGGCTCTTGGTCAGATACTCTCTCGACTACTTTGTATATACACATGGCGGAAGTATAGAGCGTGGGTGGAGCTTGGTATGGGACACATTTGCTCAAAAAATTGTTTTACATACTTCCTTGTGAGCTAACCTTCATATGGTTATTGGTGGAACCAGAATCTGTTCAGTTCGCACCTCTTAGTGGAAAGGTCCTCTTCCGAAACCTCCGGTATTACTCGCGTAATCAATCGATCAGCGTTCTTCGAGGACATATAACCTTCCGCTACTGGGTTTCGCGGGTCCGAAAGGGCGGGGATACTGCAGCGTCCGGGTCGCAAGGTGAAATATGACTGCAATTGCGGTATCTTTGCAAGCTCAACCCAATATCTTATGTTATTATTACTTGTAAAATCATTAGAACTACCCTGTAGGATCAGACTTCGTTTGGACGGTCTAGAATGGTTTATTTATAATCGGACTGCTGCGTATGAGCATCTGCAATCTGTTTTAGAACGGTCCGGGGCTGCTCCTCCAGCGGGCCCTACCCGGTCGGAGAACATCTCAGGTACATGGATCTGATGCCAACAGGGCCTACTGCTTCAAATTGACTTTTTTTCTATCCAGTAAATATCACCGAAGACTTCCCAAGCAACACACCAAAAGATATGGGTTTTCGGTGGTTTCTTCCAATCGATATAGCGGCCACCACTGGGGCAATTACCATGGGTCTGCCTGACCTTCCTTCCATTTTTATCATCCATTATAAAGAAGCCGTCGGGGTGTACGAGGCCGTTAAGGTACGGCAGGAGTTTCTCCCTAGTTTCCGTAGCATTAACTAATGCCATGCCGTATTAGTCCCGCTCTCTGCATGATTTCTACAGGACCGACTTAAACCTGTCTGTGAAGAAGGTTAAATTCAGTATGATGACAAATGTTGACTATCGCGAACCGGTTTTGAATCAAGCCGCCCGCATCCGCTCGCACAAGTTTGTATCATTATGGCGACCCGACATTCCAACCTACGTCCTTAGTGAGAAGCTAAAATTGTACATCTCTAAAGCATAAGGCGCCCATGGTATCGGAAGTTGGCAGCATTCTTGGGCGGTGGGATCATTTGGGGCGGTATGAAAGACGAAGAGATCCCTCTTCAAGAAGCAGAACGACATTGGGCCGGTCTGTCCCGATATAAAGTCTCCAATGTCCCTCTTTTAAAGAGACGGCGTTTTGAAGAATATGCGAAAGTAACCAACGTGCTAGATTGTCGACGATTGGAACTGCGCTATTATGTGGATATTCCAGGTATGTGACCGACGATAACGTCATCGATGCGCCGAAAAGACTGATCCTTGCCACGAATTATAGGACCTGTTCCTCGCGACAGTATCAAACAAGAGCTCAGCCGGGATAGTCAAAAAGAAGAAAATGATGTAGGAAACGGCGATCTACCTCCCGAATGGGGACTAGGTGAGGATGCGAACAATGGGGCGATAAGAACAAATGGCACCTTGTTTAGAGACTTTCCCAAATCGAACCCTACTGAGACATAAAAATTGCTATCGTCCTCGCGTTACATGGACCTCAAGTACTTACGATAATATTTTTAGACCTCACGGTGACTGACGGGCAGCTGCATTATGGGCCATGGACCGATCGTCAGAGGTAATCGACATATTTATCCTTTGGCAGGAACCAAGATAATTTAACGCGTATACTGGACTCTAGGCGGATAATGCAATCGTTTTTCTTTCCTTACTCTTACCGAAACCTGGAAAAGACTGAAACCCTCGTTCCCGGAGAAACTCGAGTCTTCGTCGCCATGAAAGTACTCATGAAGTTTGAAGGCGAAACGGCCCTCCGCATTCCATTTCGTGAGCAATCGAAGGTAATATACACTATGTAACCCCAGTATGCCAGTACGACTGACGCAATGTTCCAGGACTGGAAGTTTTACGATGATACTATCAGCGACGATGACGGAAATGAGAATGTGAAGGTTGGATCCACGGGGAGGCCGTATGCCTGGATCGACCTTAAAGCAAAGGGGACGTCGTCTGTGGATATCATTGTACCCTTCATACAAGGAGAAAATGGATACTCTACAAACGTGAATGTTGCTCTCGAGGATCTTTCGATGTTGACAAGTCTGAATTACAGCGTTCTGTTGGCAGCTCAGAGTGTGAGGGTATGTACAGGGTCATATGACCGTTATGTTATTGCATACATTGATTTTATTCATCTGCCTCCTTCCAGCTGGATTGCCAAATGGAAAATCCTTTGCGATGGAACGGAGAGCGAACATGGCTGTTCACTGTGGCGCTCAATGCAGCTCAGTTGTTTCTGTTACGGGACCACGTTACCCTGATTACGGACCTCATTAGAGATTGGACGTCAGGGCCTGCAACCTCACTTGAATATTTCGTTCCGATGGAGTATAAGATCAAGTTCAACTTAATAGACTTTGAGTTGATCTTCTGTGTAAACCAGAATAACGTGATCAACCAGCCAAATGACTTGAATGATAATGGTAAGCGGCACATGTGGACGACGACACTCACCTTCGCCCTTCGTACTAAGCTATTTGGTCTGATAGTGTATTTGATTGTGAGCGGTCCTCGTTTACGGTTTGATGTGTCGATGCCCTTCCTCCATTTTGAGGAAGATGCGACAATCGTCGGGTTCCAGGTCGAGGTAAGCACATGTTCACATCTATGTGTTCCGTTCCTAAGCGCTGACAACGCTTGTCAGTCCAAGAAGACACGCGTTAGGATGAGTTTTCCAGCATCTCACACTATCGGTGCATATTTGACGGAAGAAGCGCGCAATGTTGGCACAGTCGGTCATCTAGCCATTGAGGCATCCTATCGTTTTTGCAATACATACAAACTTGGGAATGTAGACAGTTTAGCTATGAATGTGGAGGTACTTACCGCTACTCATATTGGGCATTGAAGTTATTAGTCTTGTGCTGATGAAATTAAATCAGGCGTCATCAGTTCACGCAACCATATTCGGCTTCCTGATCACACATCTGGTCTATTTCAAAGAAAATTATATGGGAGACTTCAATAACTTCGTGACATCAGACGAATTTCGTAATAGAACGGCTGATCCCACTATGGCAGAGACCGCTTGGCGAAAGCAGGAAGCAGCGAAGGTGAACCTGCGCAAGAACCACATACCTCTGATAGATTAGCACTAATTTATTGCAAAGGGCAAATCAAATCTTTTTGAGGTCCACATTACAGTGGTAGTGCAAAATGCGGTTGCCATCTTGCCGGAAAATCTATATGATGTGCAGGAGGCCTCAGTACTTACGATCAATGAAATTCAAGTCGAGAACCGCAATAATGATCATTACCACGGTATGCGAAGAATCTGATATACGCACACGATCATGTAGGCTTAGCGTGAACGGTTTAGATGTACAAATTAATCTACGGCCTATCCATTGGTCCCGCACCCAGATTGTGGCTTCAGTTGTACAGCCGAACCCCGTCGAGGATCGCAATTTTTTGCGCGCTCAAGGTCAGTTCCATCAACAGGAGTGGACAACGATTCGAAGCACCTGTTAAACAACACAATTCAGATATCACAGTGCGCGGGCACCGTCTTTTCGGACGACCCCCGCGAGGAGCAGTTTACGCTGTGGATTGGCGATTGACTGTTGGCCAGATTGTGGGAGAGTTGCAACCGTTTTCACTGCCTGCCATACAGCAGGCGTTAGAGTGCTTCTCTTTTCATTACGCGGATATGGATAACCTTCTAGTAGCACCTCAACCGCTACCCGATATTACAACGGTGCAAGTAGTGCTGACAAGTATTGAAATTTCAGTGTGGGGACAAGGAAGTGTGTCGAGTCTGCACCTAGCCCATGGATTGCGACTGCAAATGGACAATTTTATATGCGCGAATTGGAGCGAGCGCGTATTCGTTGAAGTTCCGGATATCTTGATCCGATGTTTAGCGGTGACAAAGGATAAAGAAGATGGATCAGCAGCCAACGGTGACTATTCTTGGGTGGAAGTTTTGAATGGGCGGACAGCTCTGTCGGTCTGCATATATAGGCAGATGCCCAACTGGACAGAGGCACAAGCCAGACAGATGGATTTTATCAAAACCCAAGATGACGCAACCCAGCGGTGCACCTTCCTATACAATCAGGGAGACGTCAATAATGGTCGTAGACGACAGGAAGTTCGCTCGGCGGATGACACTCATTGGTTGCCCTATCTGCCACTCTTCACACCCCCTTTTAAGGTTACCCCCCACCAATCAACTCCCAGAGAGGAGAGTCCTGTTCGAGATATATTTGCTGACACAACAAGTTCTGGGTGGTCCGACCGTGCAGCAGATAGCGACTCTGAGTGAGTACGCCGGTTTTTTTTTTCTATAATTCTAGCAAATGTCTCAAGAGCGACCTATGTGCTAGTGGTTCTAGAGATTTGGACGAACCTTCCGACCACTCGCCTTTGGCGGACTCTGACACGTGGCAGACTTTCACAGACCAAGAACCATCGGGCGTACCGCACCAATCGTTCCAGCAACCTGCGGTCTCCCGATCTATTCCTTATCGGTCATACCTGAAAAGATTCAATATCGATACTTCGCACCGCGACTCACTAGGACGGTCTCCCACTATGACACAGTTTACTTCGGTTGACCCCGAAGATGGGGAGACCACTGATGCTGACGACTTCTACATGGAGAGGCCATTCCATAGGGCTATGAGAAAATATCGTCGTGGCGAAGCGAAAGCCCCGGAGAACTCGGATAGTGAAGAGAGAAAAATGGTTACGGTTGACTTTTCGGGACCTCTGCGATTTCTTATCACACCGATCTTTCTGCGCATTGTTCAGGAAGCGCTGGAGAATCTGGGAAGTCGAGTGAGTGCACTCATTTTGGGAGATCAGCCATAGCAATTTCTAATTCCGTGTAGCCGCTAAGACCGGAGTCCATGATGGATGCATTTCAGAGGGAGTACACGAATAGTCTGATCCAGATCTTCGCATATCAGTATACTTCTTCGTCAATTTTTGTTTCCGCGCCCACCGTACATATTCATTGCATCCAAGATATGCTGCTTCCAGATGTGACTTCGTTCTTGCATGATGACCTGCCCCTTCGATACGAGTTATCTGACAGACTGTTGTGCTCATTCGATATTGTCGTTACGGGTGTTACTGGAAGAGTCAAGACGACGACCAAGAACCCCACGGCTGCATTTCGCGAGCCACAACAAAACGAAGCCAAATTCGTCGTTGATGTCGAGAGAGTTGCTACCAAACTGCGATTTGTTGGAAATATGAATGCTGCGGGCATTGTGGGCATCCCATCAGCGAAGCAACATGCTCGCGCAACCCCAGCGGAGGGGGCGCTAGAAGGCGTTCCTGTTGTTCTAGATTTGCTAGCCGAAAAGATTCAGTGGGAAGGACATCTCGATTGGCGGTCGGATCTCAAACCCGGAGAACAAGATGGGAGTTCAATGAAAATTAGCACGAAGGACTTGTCTGTCGTTTCAATCAACGAAACTATAGAAATCATGTTTGGTGCCATTTTCAAGTGGGTTACGTTCGGTACGGATGTGAGTAAGCTGGCTAGCGAATTCAGAGCACGACGGCGAAAGGAGCTTCAAAAGCTCGTGAGCTTAGTCGCGGAAAAGGCCTATCATTCACAGATATCAGGAGATCCAGTTTTCTTAACACACCCGTCGACGCTGTGGCTGCTGGGAAACCGTAGACATCAGAATGACAGTGGATGGAAGCTGCTCGCCCATCTTCGATACTGCCTGCGAGCATTGCCGCACCTCGTGAAAGAAGAGATGTGTAGGCAGTTGGGCAATAGCATGGATGCAGACGCCAAACTCATGTATGTTTCAATTCTCCGTTATCTTGGCGCCTGGCGACAATGGGAGGTAAGCGACCTCTCATCTACACCTCTACTGCGTGGCTTGTACAATGTGAAACCACCAGTTCCGTGCACCGCGACGGCAACCAATATGGAGACGTTAAGCCGAATATTGAATTGGAAAGGGATGTTGGATGTTGCAAGACTCGACATCACCATCATTGAATTCCAAAATGACGACAGCTCCATTATGGTCGGGCCCATTGTTATGTCTGGCAAAAGCCGTGTGTGTGACAGGGATGTGCCGGACCTTTCAGCGGAATGCGACTTCGGGTCTGACATTGACGCTCAGTTGGGAAACTTAAATGGCTCCCGGTCGCAGAGCGGCTGTGGTCATTTGGATGTGAGATGCAGAGCGCGAATAGAGCGTATCGATACCGTTGTCAATCCCAACCTTTTTGGGTTTGTTCGTCATTTCCTCCGGGTACATCGCTGGTTTCAAGCGAGGCTGGAGTCAAGTGAAAGGAGCCACGCCGCCCAAAAGCAGGGTGACATATTGGCTTCCCTTGGCAGCGCTTCGGAAACAACCCTGCTTCGTGGACTACCTGTCGTATTTTTTGGGACGGGGCTTGTGACTAGATTCTCGATAACGGCAGCTGCTCACAATCTTGTGGCACAAGCTACACTGAGAAATATTCAGGCATGTTCAATGCATCTCACAAACAAAAGAACTCAAGACATCTATGAGGAACAGCGCGAACCGCTGTATGAGCCCGGTCATCTCTTACACAACACTGTGGTAACTGTGGCAGATGTAAACGTTACCATGTACGAACGCACTGTGAGAGCCGGAAAGCTGCAAGATACCGCAACTTTGATATCGCTTGAGCTTGGCGAAATAAGTGGAACAGCTTCGGTCAGCCAGTCTTCATCCACAGACTCTCGAGGATCTGTGGTCCATCCGTCAGAAATATTGTCATTGGCCACCGTAATACGTTATGCTGGCTTGCGTCTCCCCAGAAGTTTGCTAAAGCTGCACACGTTCCTGGAAAAATGGGGGGATGAAGATCTACCTCGTTATGACTTCCTTTTCAATAGGTTAGTCCGAGAGTGGGACAGCGGACAGCTAGACGTTCCCGTGGAGGGTTTGAGCCGTAGCACCAGCTCGAAGATCGGAAATCTTTCACGACCGCGCTTCGAGAGTATTCGACTTGAATTTTTACTTAGCCACTTGTCAATTCAATCGGATTTATTGGCATCTCTGAACTTCTTTTATGATGCCCACAATCTGCTCATAGGAATTAGTCAAGACGATTCTCCAGCAGCTCTGGGGGGAGCGCCGAATATGCTGAAAACGAGGATCGGCTGGGAGGCACGCTTGGCTAGTCATACTGTTAAATTTCTAGCGAGAAAGACGAGCTCAAGGACGTATATTGACGAGCCTTCACCTGATAACCAGTGGACAACTTTTGACTTGCCAACCGCTAGCTCAAAAGGCTCAGTTGTACACGGAGCGTCCCAAACGCAAACAATGCCGGGTGAGAGCCTGGAAACAGTCCGTCAGCCAGTCCCTCTGCAGCAGTCCAAGCGAATCGAAGCTACATTGGAGCTGGACTTAATCGAAGCAAGTCTTGACGTGAGCATTATTGACCAGCTGATTACAGCGCAAAATGTTCTCGGCGGTGAGTTGAACGATATCTTGGAGGTCTTCGCCTTCTATAGCAGAAAAAAGGCACATTCGAAACGCGGTGCAAGTCATCAGAAGGAAAAGGTCGCTGGTGCGATTCCAAGGATTCTGTATGCTCTGAAGATTACTGTTCAAGGCCTTCGCATTTCTGCCGAAAGTCCCAACAGCATCATAATCTTTGAATCCGATCCTTTGAATGGGTTCGTAACAAACTTCCCTCAAAGCGACGTGTCCACCGGTAGCTTGGAATTGCCGACTGCCATAGGTGCTGACATACTTTCATGGCGTTTCGTGGCTCGCCGCTTCTCCTTATCACTGATCCTCAATATGCCAAATTGGCAGCAGTGGAGGACTAACGCCCGAGCAAAGATGCACCCGCTAGCCTACGTTCTGATGGGCCTCACTGTCCAGAATTACGGACCTGCTGAAACGGTGGCTCGGGACTTTGATAATCTCGAGATGCTCTATATCCAAGTCCATAAACTCCATGCTGTGTTGCAGCCAACAGCAATGACTTCGATGGCGGAAGCTGGGGTGTTTTATACAAAGGAATTGGACAGGCGAAAGCAACAGAAGGCGAAGGAAATAAAGAGGGCGAAAGAGAATACAACACGTTTTCTAAAGGGGATACGATTGCCATTATCACCGGAGCGAAAAGACCGTTCATTCTTTGAAAACAGAGTGATCCTCGTGAAAATAAGACAAATAGGCGCCGCGATACCGCTCCGTGAACACGAGAGCAATTTCAGTGAGATTCTAGAGAATGCACCGCCTGGCCTAGCCAGTCGGCGCAACACGATGTCGGGGTCCGGTTTGGACCCGTTACCGGCATTCCTAGTTTCCGCTAAAGAGATTCAGCTTGATTCAATGCGTTTGAAATCAGCTGCAGGAAGAATCACTGATTTGTGCTTCCAGTTTGTACCTATATTCGAGGCGGCAAATGACAAGCATTTCTCCCCGTCTGGACATCCAAACGTAAATCGGATCATTCTGCAACTCATCAACGCCGAATTTCACCGAACGCTAGAACAAGATCGGAATATCATCCGTGTGAACTCTGGTATCAGAGGGTTTGAGTTAGAAGTAGACGCAACGATAACCGAGTATTTGAATCAGCTCAATGCAATTTACGTGCGGGAGCGTGAGAAAGTTGCACAATCATTACCGGTGGACGAATGTGACGATCACAGCAAGCCTGTCACCACGAAGGAAGAGCTCGAAGAGGATGACGGGCACGCTAACCACATTGAAACAAACGGAGAGTCCACGGGAGGCGCCCTCCATGTTAGTTTTGAAGGCCGTTTCGAGTTTGAAGCCGGTACTTGTAAGTTATGGTCAGCTAGGAATAAAGAGAGGAGCGCTCCGGCTGAATCCCCAGCGCTATCCACAAGCCAATTATCATCAACCGGATCTGCAAGCCAGCGAACGGGCGAAACGAGCAATGGCGAAGATCCTTGTCTACACGTACTCACGCTTCCAGGACTTACGTTGCTGACTGTGGGCAGAACAATAATTGGACCATCATCAAAGCACGCCAGCCTTGGCGACGATTCATTGAAAGGCATCCATTTTGAACTCGTCATCCACCCTACGCATAATGTTCTACATCCGGACATTGTCACTTTCTTTCGCGACGTGAATGCTAATCTGAAACTCGGACGGATTCTCAAGCATCAGGAGGAGATCGAAAGAGGCGTGAACGACAGTAATCAGTCTCTCGACAAAAAGCCACGTAATGAAACGGAGACAAATCCGACCTTTGTAGCGTATCAACGGCATAAAATTACTTTCTACTTGCGGTTGTCCAGAACTAAAGTCAGTCTCAGCTGCCAACCCGTTTCAAAAGTCAGCTGTAACTTCAATTTGGATGAGGCGGATTTCATGTTTTCGTTCTTGCCGAAAGGTGTGAGCAAAGACCGAACTCAGTATATGAGCTGTACCGCCAATATTCTGGGCACGTCCGGAGCGCTCCGACATGCATTTTCCCCTGAAGATTGCCTAAATGCGGAGATACCACGAGTCACCTTCAGCGTGACAATGATAGAGCGAAAGCATAACCGGACATATGCCATTGAAATCGGTGTTCCTTCCTTAATTGGAAATCTTAATGCTAGGCATCTTCAGGATTTCTTTCTTTTCCAACGTATGTGGTTGGACCATCCCTCACAATTCGTCTTCCCATCAGGCAATTTGGCTTCATCCCCACCCGAGTTCGACGATGATAAGCAGACGCAGCGCTCGTCTCTCTTTTCCTTGGGCGGTGATTCTGTTCACTCCCTGACAGACCACTTCAACGTAGCCGCCCGAATAAACCAAATCGAATTCGCCATGGATCTCGGGCAAGCTATTGGCAAAGCTACTGTTGGATTAGAAAATGTCGTTGTGAGTGGGAGCGTAACCAAGTCTACCTTTGGATTTGAGAAGAAAGCCGGTACATTCAAGTGCGAGACAATTGGTGTCAAAAGTGAGGGTCGCTTCAGCGGAATTACATCCATTGACGGAGTGCACTTTTATCTTGACGCAAGACGGCCCCTGCGCACCAATTTTGCCGCAAGATCATCATTTGTTGGAATGGAAGCTGCTCTCAGGGTGGATCATTTAGGATCCCAGTTGCAGTACCAGTACGAGAGAATCCTAATCGTGCACGTCTCTCCTTTGCATGGCGGACTCACTGATCAATGGACACTCGGTGACGATGGCCCTGAGCTCTGCAGTAGTGCTGATATTAAGGTGGACACATTCAAAGCGATCATGTCTCGACGAACAATCCCCACACTGGTACATCTGGCCAAACGCCTTCATGCGTTAATTGAAGAAAAAAGAGGGATAGACTCAGTCTCCGCCAATACAACTAATCGCGGCGAAACAGTCTCTTCGAGTCCGTCCACTGGATCCTTTTTGTTGCGGCCGCAGGATCGAGTGCGGAGCCCTAGCAGTGTGGACGCCAGTATCCCTAGTCCAACATCCATCTCCAAGCCGCTTCATCGCGCTTCGTTCGCCAAATCGCCATGGGGTCCACTTGTCGGCCGGATTCGACTAGTGTTAGGAGAAGCCTTTGTGATTCTCACCCGGTATAACTTCCGTGATCCGGATTTCGCCCAAATAGTTTCAAAAAGGTTTGAGGTCTACTACGAAGGATCCGCAAGTGCCGCGCATAGGGCTGCTGAAAGCACGTCATTCGAATTGGGTGGTTTCAATGTGAAGAAGGGTGCCGCGAAGCCGATATCTCAAGCCGAAGAGAGCATGTGGAGTACAGCTCAGTGGTTTGCTTTCATGACTGCCGCTGCAACCAAGAATGTTTTTGGTGTACCGTCCACCAAAATCAAGCTCGCTACAGAAACCTTTTTGGAGGAGCCCAAAGTCGAATTTTCATTTCGCACGGATTTTGGTGGTCCTATTGATGTGGCATTGAATTTTGGCCTCTACAAATATTTGCAAGATCTGGTGCAACTGTACCAGAAAGCGGTGGCGAGATCCGAGAGCACAAAGTCTGAAAATGCAAGTCGCACTACGGGACCTTCGCCGACGAACGGAGGACCTAGCCCACTGAGCGGTGCGCCCACCAAATTCGGCGTATCTACTGCATCTCTTGTCTCCCAAAGCTCAAATGATGGTGCCGCGCCTCTGGCGGCGAAAGTTGGTTCTCCTGGGGACGCTAAGGCAAATGCACCTCCTGATAGAGCTGGGGATGAGCGCGACAAAGTGCAGTTCGTCCGAACAGGCGACATGGTTTTCGAACCTCAACTTAAAGTCACTGGCGACGCAACTCCATGGGAGTGGGTGGAATGGCTAGGAGTGCATAAAGAAAAGGTGCCAAGGCTTCTCTATGAACAAGTGACCATGAATTTTGCGGAATTTTTGGATACACTCACTAAATTTCGCGAAATGACTGCCATTGATTGACTACATACAAGACACTAATATTACGCCGCGTGCAGGGGCTTCTTAATAAATAAACATTAAGTCTAAGCTCGCATTCTCGCCTGTCCGAAATATAAGTTCTATTTGAATGAAATCTGGGTGCTTTCATTGCACTCTAAGCCGTTCCAGTCGTTGTCGAATTTCCTCGTCGCTCATCAGCTCACCACTTACAACTTCTCGTCGCGCCTGCATCTGCTCGCGAGCATTATATTCATCATATCCCACCAGTAATCCTCCATTTGCACTTGATGCGACTGCTACCATGTGCATCGCACAGCGGCTGTCCAGATGATCATTGATCTTATCTACCAGTACTGCGCGAGCGCATATGGGACATGCTACAGTGTCTGATCCTAAGGGTAAAGGGGAGGCAGGGCGAGACCGAGTTTGGTAAACTGGCGGGTGAGCACCATATGATATGGCAGAGCCATTGTAGCTTCCTGGGAGCATACTTTCACGCGGTAATGAGTTAGAATGTGGAGGGTAACCAGTCGGCGCTGCGGGTGGGATCTCACGCGGTAAAGAGCCATGATGTGGTACATGAAGGTAAGAGCCTCCTGGGGCCACCCCGTACGGGACAGCTGTTAGTGACCCAGAGGGGGCCGGCGCTTGATAGTATCGTCGACTTGGCGGATGATCACTCGATCTTACGGGAATCGAACTCTCTCGACTGTGCGACCGCGGTGACCCTTCCTGCGACGGCACCCCTTCCCCAGACGAGGCACGCTGATGTGGAGCGTAAAGCTTTGGAGGAGGTTGGGGGATGCTTGCAGCTGTGGGTTCTGGGCTTGGGACAGGGGGTAGGGCGTCATCTATGTTCAAGGAGGATGCGCCTGAGCTTCGACGATGATTGACATTTGGCTCGAGAGTGTCGGAATGGTGCTGGGAATCGTATGTTCGTAGTTCTTTAAGGAAATCCGTAACAATACGTGTCGTGACCGTGGCGCCTTCATACGCAGGAAGTTCTTGCCCAGGTGCGAGTGAGCCCTGCGCTGAGAAGGACCTTACTTTTAATTTCCGAGTAGCACAATTCTACATCCCTCACGTAGCTACTTACGTATCTGATCACTGAGATATTTACCAAAAGTCGCAAAGATGGTAATCTAAAGTAGGTGATCCAAGTAGGTGAAACCAACATCCTGTTCCCATGGCCATAACCGTCAGTGCCCTACCTTGTTGGCAAACTCCATCCAGGCATCAAATTGGAGGTGCATAGCATCTTTGAAAGATGCGCGCTTATATCCTTCATAGGCTGCTTCCTGCTCTGCAAGATCTCGGTCCACAGTAGTCAGTTCCAATTTGATTCCTTCGTGAGGCTTCTGCTTCTTTATTGCGTCCTTAAACTTTTCTTGAAGTTCCTTCAAGCGTTTACGAAGGACGTAGAGGCTGTCTTCGCGGGCTTTCATCTCCTTCAGGCGAGAACGGTACAGTTCATAGCGCTCTGCATGGATACGGAAAATCACGTTCAATAAATAGTTGTGCCATAGCCACAAGAACAGCTGCCTGCGAACCTATCAGCGTATAGTGGAACTTTGCAAACTCCTCAAATAGAACTAGATACTTTTCCGTAATGTCCTGTTAAATGGACTATAAGATTCCCTCACTGTAAACGTACTTTTGATGTCAAGTCTCACCGCAACGTCTGTGTGTTCTGTTTTACCCCATACAGCCATGTACTTTGCAGCTTCAGCACGACAACAGGGAATGAGTGAGTTGCAAATAATACTGCTCGACCAGCGAATGGTACTTACCTTCAGCCTTCTCTTTAGCAAATTTGTGGAGCTCTTTCATAACATCCTGGAAAGGTTTCGTTAACTTGTGCAAACAATGTACGTTGCCGTTTCAAAGAGCCAACCTTCTCTTCCGTTATCAATACGTTCAGCTCTGGATGGTCATGCGCGTTCAACGATACCATAGACCGTCGTAATCCTTGAAATGTTGCCATGTCTAAATGTTGCTAAATCGGAAGAATTTCCAACGAAGCGTTAAAGCGTTAAGTAGGGTCAACAGCGAGTGTCAGTCACACAAGTTCGTCATCGCGCATGTCCCAAGCCTCATCGGCTGCACACGTAATCAGGGGAGTCTTGGCATGGCCCATCACCCGATCTAGTTGAAAGGGTTTTTGAGGAAAGCGGCTCAAAAGGTCAATAGCCGTTTAAACGGTGAATATAAAATCCAGGAGGGAGCTTCTCCCCGTTTTTTTTATGCCAAGAGTTCTGTCAGCGATGGACGTCAAATCACTCAGCTACCGAGCTTGTCAATTGCTTATCCTCCTTATTGTTGGTATTACACCGCTCGCCTATGTGTATGTGGCTGGTCTGCTCTACTTTCTTTTGCATGGCATCCACGGACGTGACTTGGCATACCCCAATTACCCTTACGGGTGGAAGGGTGTTGCCTTCAATATCTATACGACATGGATGCTAGTGGAGGCCCTCTGGTTGCCGTATCACTTGTATACCTTCAACAGATTACGGTCTAGGCGCCAAACCGCACACGCTGCACGGGATGCAGATGAGAGACGGACGCTTCTGGCAAAGTGTTTGAACGCAATCGGAGACGCCTCCAGCATAAGGAAGATGATTGAGGGCTGGTTTTTTGAGACTCCGATCGAGCAGATTCGCCGGGGGAACGTAGCTGAATGGGCTGCCTGGGCATTTTTCGACAAGGAATACACCGAGCTTAATGACTTAGAATTGGAAGAGGTGGATGAGATGGTCAAAGAAACCGAGCAGCGAATTCAGTATCGGCTCAAAGATGGGTACGATAAACGCGTCAAATGCATTCGGTTGACAATAGATAAGATGCAAATGCTGCATCGACCCTTCATATATTACGTAACCATCTCGATCATGCACGCTATCGGACATGTTTTCTTGCGGTTTCTGGGTTTTCGAGAAGCTTCAGTTACGGCCAAGGGGAACACTACCGGTACTCGCCAGCGGTACTTTTACCGCCCAGGATCTTCGTCTGCAAAAAAACTAGAGGATACTCGTCCTATAGTATTCATCCACGGAATTGGCATCGGGTTCCTGCATTATATGCCGCTTGTGGCCCGTTTGCCGCGCGATGTTGATGTGTTCCTCCTCGATTGGCCGCATGTGTCAATGCGTCTTGCGGAGACCGTTCCTAGCATCGAAGATACCGTATCGAGTCTCGCTACCATCTTGACCAGGCATAATCACACTAAAGCCTGCTTTATCGCTCATTCTCTCGGAACGGCTGCTGTGAGTTGGATGATCCACCATAGACCTGATATGGTCGCCTCTACATTATTCCTTGATCCAATTGTCTTCCTTCTGGTTCACCCAGCCATTGCTTACAATTTCGTGTATCGTGCACCGACGACGACTACTGAGCTCCTGATGCATTATTTCGTCTCTCGAGAGCTCTACATTGCGCACTCGCTCGCTCGACACTTTAATTGGTCCGAAAATGTATTATTCAAGGAGGACCTCCCGAAAAGTGAACAACACCTCGTTCTCTTGTCGAGCAACGATCAGATAGTTCCCTCGCAGGCAGTTAGGCAGTATCTTCAAAATTCGAACGTCGAACTGTTATGGCTTGAGAAGACTGCCCATGGGGCTCTAATGTTCAAGCAAGATGCGCTATCTGTACTTCAATGTAAAATTGAAGAGGCATGCGGTCTCCGAGCGTGAAACGGGCGTAGCTTTGTTCAGTAATAGGTTCATTTAGTGTACATCATCATATTAGCCATATTTCACATAATTAGAATAATTTTGATATTATCAGCCGCCTCTCAGCCTGCGCAAAGAGACGGACTGACCGATCTGAGCTCAACCATGCCGTGAGTACGTCTCGATACCCGCTTTGGGCTGGTAATGAAAACGTAAAAGTATGGTAGTAGCCAGACTATCCCCTGGTGTAGTAGTTAGTGCCAGTTTCTGTCACCTCTACACTAAGTACGCTGGACGTCTTAATCGCATAACACCTACACCTTTGTGAGCAATTCTGTGGTCGGCATGACTTGCATACTGATCGTGCCCGGACGTATTTTCCCATGTTCTCGAGCACACAATTGAGTTATGGCCGCCTCCTTTCTGCTCCTTTGGCCGCTTTGTTTCTGCGTGCGATGGGATCTGTTTAGCTGACCCGCTAAAAGGTCGCGGAGGACGCGCTGGCGCCAATTGCCATGCCAACAGGAATCATCATCACAATTGTGTGCGTTCCTTCCTTTGCTCCCGTCCAACCCATTACATGAGCGCATACATCAAGTTCACCGCTCTTTCTGGCGCGCGTAACGAGGACCCATTATGCTATTTACTTGAAATCGACGAAGCAAAGCTTCTTCTTGACTGCGGATGGACTGATGCATTTGAGCCAGAAGACCTCAAGCAGCTCAAACGGTGAGTATTCAGGTTGCGCTGTTGCGCCCGGCACGGATGGGATACCTGACGGGTTATGAGGACGTCAGACTTGGAAGATATGTAGCTAGATGGGTCCGAACATCGAGTGTGCTACCGAGGCTATAATAAAAATTGATTCTACGAACTCTGATTGTTACGAATGACTTTAATAAACTGTCCTTTCATTGTCCCCATTTTCTTTTGGATTTGGACTGTGCAGGATCGCGAAACAAGTTGATGCCGTATTAATCAGTCATGCAGATATTGAGCACCTCGGAGCTTACCCTTACGCTGTGGGCAGTCTTGGCCTGAACTGCCCTGCGTACGCAACCGTTCCTGTTCACGATATGGGACAGATTTGCATGTATGATGCATACCAGTCCAAAAGCGATGTCGAGGATTTTTCCACTTTTACCTTGGATCATGTGGACACGGCTTTTGAAAACATGGTTCAATTGCGTTATTCACAGCCGTTCTCGCTGTCAGGTTTGTAGTTGCGCAGGCATTCGCTAAACGTAGCATTCATGACGATATTACTGTTCATCAGGGAGATGTAAAGGCATCACAATCACTGCATATGCTGCAGGGCATACTGTAGGAGGCACCCTCTGGAAGATCAAGAAGGATACTGACGAAATCGTATATGCAGTTGATTATAATCACAAGAAAGACCGGTGGGTTCGCAGTAATGTAGTTTGGCGCTGTCTAGAAGCGACCACTGAAAATGCTTGGATAGCCATCTGAATGGCACTGTGCTCATGACCACCGAAGCCCTCGCAAGACCGTCGGTTTTGATTACGGATTCGTATAATGCGAACAGTGAACAGCCACTCCGGAAAATCCGTGATGCCGCTCTTGTGGGTGCGTTTCTCCTGCCAGTGATTCTTAGAGGGAGCAGAAAGTATATGGGCTGACATTCCATTGTTTTATAGATACCATCACCGCGGCACTCAGCGCTGGAGCAAACGTTCTTATTCCAGTCGACTCTTCAACCCGAGTTTTGGAGCTAGCTTACCTTCTTGAACAGCACTGGGCATTCAATCGTGTGCAGTATGCACTGATATTTTTAGCTCATCAGAGCTATCGCACTATGACATTAGCCAGAACGATGTTGGAATGGATGGGCGACGGTGTGGCACAGGCATTCTCACAGAGGCGTGAGGTTCCGTTCGACTTCAAGTAAGGTCATGCAACGCATTTTTGCCAGGAACTCATGTGCTCAAGTGGGCGATATTTGAAAAGGTTTTTGCGAACATTGTACCGGATGAAGGACCTTGAGAAATTAAATGGACCAAAACTGGTCCTTGCCTCGCTCTCGAGCATGGACACCGGATGGTCTAGTCAGCTCTTGCAAGAGTGGTGCGAAGACCCCAAAAATATCATCATATTACCTGACCGAGGACTACCTACCTCAATGACCCGACGCCTCTATGATGAGTGGAATTTAAACGCGCCCCCAATACAATCTAATGGACTTCGCCCATCTGTTAATATTGAACTAGACCTCCCTATGACGGTCAGTTGATGGTTGCTTCTTTAGCAGAGAATCCGCGTCTGCTTGCTCGTCTTACTGGTCGTATAATAGGTCAAGACCAAAATTCCATTAGAAGGAGAAGAACTTGCGGAGTTCCTCGCCCGCGAACAGCAGCGTCGTGAACATGAACTGGAGAGTCTTGCGAAGCAACGCTCGCTGATAGAAGAAGATGAAAGCGACATGAGTGAAGATGAAGGAGAGGTGGCTGAGGTTGCCAACATTCTTGCTACCGGCTTTGATATATATGTGAAGGATCAAACGCGATCAGGTGGCTTCTTTAAACAGTCACAGTCCTATCGAATGTTTCCGACATATGAACCGAGGAAGAGGGTCGATGATTATGGTGAACAGATTGACCCCGCTGTATACATGCGAGGAGAGTATCAATATGCCTTGCAGCAGGCAGCTGAGGAGGAGGAGGTGAGAAACACTGTTGAGATAGCAATCCAATCGGCGCAGCTAGTAATTTGAAGCAGTCAGCGCAGGGGCCTACACCAATGGACCTGGATAGGATTCGACCTGAGGAGGATAAAATACCCTCGAAATACATAACACGCGAGACAAATCTTAAGATTCGATGTAAAGTCATGTATATTGACTTCGAAGGACGTTCAGATGGCCGATCCGTCAAAAATATCTTGCCACAAGTGGCACCACGCAAGTTGGTAAGTTTTCAAATCTTGAATGATACGCGTGGTGTTCGGAATCAGGAGTAATGAAAAAATATTATCCCAGATTCTAATACATGGATCCGAAGAAGCGACCGACGATCTTGCCGGGTATTGCGCCGAGACCGAGTCGATGACTACCGAAATCTACACGCCGCATGTTAACGAATGTATCAATGTTTCAGCGGCGACCAATATTTACCAGGTGAGAAGATTTAGCATTTCCTTTGCCGGCATGAAGCTAATATCGACTTGTCTTAGGTTAAATTAACGGATTCGCTCGTGAGCTCCTTGAAGGTTGCTGCGGTACGTTGAAAGCACTGTGATACTATGAAGGAATTAATCCTTTGTGAATTCATGTATATTACATAGATCGCCGACTACGAACTAGCGTATGTAAGCGGCATAATTCGCTTCCCGCAAGACGAAATTCCGGGCCTTATGTCAGATCAAACACCGGGAGACATTACAACGCCCAGTGGAACTGCAACAAGCACGGTGGTACCCATTCTCGATTTTGTCCCTGTGGAAGATCAGAGAGTACACCGCCCCGTCATTGTGGGCGATCTAAAACTTTCAGAATTTCGGCGGCTGCTTCAGGCGGAAGGGTTTGGAACCGAATTTGTATCAGGCGTGCTAGTCGTAAATGGCAAAATTGTTGTAAAACGAACAGCTGCAGGACAGTTGACAATGGAGGGGCAGGTGGGCAGCGACTTTTACCGGATCAGATCATTATTATATAATATGCTAGCAATATTATAGCGTGTGTTAGACGCTCTTCTCCTGTGCCGAGCAGCTTGAAAAGTCTATTGATAGTATACCACGTCCTGAAGATGAACCTTTAGGGTTATTTATTATTTTATTTGGTCTATTTTCTGAATTTAACGAGAAACCCGCTCTTTTCTCGTAAAGAAGTCAAAACACAAATTAACCCCAACCTTCCCATCTAACAGTTTATATTGGTCCTACAACAAGCACCCAAATGCACGGATCCCTTCAAAGCACTTTGACCTCAACAATCGGTCACAGGAACCTTCCTGTGCTGACGCTACAATCTATAAGTGAACTTCAAACGGCACGCGAGGTGCGAGTGATCACGTCTACTACAGGTTCAGTGTTTGCTTTCATCTTTAAGGCAAAAGCTCTTTCAAAAACTCTGCGACATCCTTGACTTCATCATTCGAACTTGAATGACCCATCCCGCGATATGTTTTAAATTCAACCTTTCTATCCAGCTCTTTGAGTTTATCGTATGTCATCTTTCCCCACTGGTAAGCTACCACTTCATCTGCATCTCCATGACACATCAACATGGGGGTCCCCTTGTTTGTTGAATTAGTAAGCTAAAAAAATATTTCGTATTAGGACTGCAGTCTCATCATCATTCCGCTACCGATATTAGTCAGCACCTTGTCAATATTGGTCGTCAATGGTAAGTATCCACTCAAGCAGGTAAAGCCAGCAAGTCTAGTATTACTGGTCAGACTGTAGACGATCGATACTGCCGCTCCTTGAGAAAATCCTCCAAGGACAATCCTGTCTGCAGAGATTCCTGATCGTATCTCGTCATTGATAAGTTCCGTGACTGCGAATGCAAAGAGTCGTCAATAACATCAGTACCTATAGTACACTTGAACGATGAAACCACGTCTTACTTTTCGATACGGAATCCATTACCCCCGCCTCATCCTCTCGGCCACCCGGTCCCAGATGATGGATGTCGTACCTGTATTCATCACTTATAAGCGTTTCACTAACTAAGAGAGTCTGATCTGAGCTTACCATGCCGGCATGGCCATACCGAAATTGATGCTTACAGGCTTTTGAGGAGCATGAGGGAGCACCCACTTGACGTGTGGAAGTAATGGTTGGAGCATCTTCGCAACAGGTGCCCTAGTGATACAAGATTCATCTGTTGATCGCCAGCGCCTCTTCCTGCGTGTAGGGTCTATCCTTACCATCCATTCCCGCTGTCGCCCAATCCGTGCAAGAAAAAGACCTTTCAACAGCCAAAATGGAATTAAGTCAGTGGTACATGGAAGTCACACTACGTTTCATGGGTCACATTGAGGGACCTACGGTTGCAGTATGCTTTGACTTGGCAGGCACTACAAGATACTTCAGGGCGGCAGCAGTACTCATCTTGTAAAGTTGGGGTGATGGAAAGTATAAAGTCGAAGTTGGAGTTCAACCTCGCAGCCAAAATGGTTAGTCCCACGTCATTGGACGGGATGAGTCACCCAGATGACATCAAAAACCAGCATAATCCTGGCCAGAGAGCAATGCGATCATGAATCCACAGAATAAAGATAACCCTCAGTTCGCAACTTCAAAGAAATCATTTGGTAAAGAACAGCCTAAAACTAGCCCTACAAAAGAAGAAAAGGTCTTCACCAGCTTAAAAGCCGCTTGGCAACGGTCGGTGGGGAATCTCTCGCCTGCTGCGGTGCACAAGCTGTCTCAGCTACAAAGCCAAGCATCTTCGAGGTTACTGCAAACAGGAGATGCTGCCAGTAAAATTGTCCGAAATGCCATTTCAAAATCATCGGACATCCGCGGTGCCGCGAGCGAAACGGCCAAAAACTTAGCGAAAAGCACTGCAGCAAACCTCACAGGCACGATCAAAGTTGCAGCAAACCGAGCTTCGAATGCCATGTCTGATGTGGCATCCACTGCGAAAAAGTCCGTGGCAGAACAATCTGAAAAAGTGCTCAACGGATCTTCGTGGACAGCCAATGCGGCTGGCAACAAAGTCGCCGAAAGCGCACAATCGGCTGGTGAACGGTTACAATTGAGTACACTAAGTGCTGCCCGGCGAACGAAAGCATATCTGCACGAAAGATTGCCCTCCCTGACCTCCAGGGCTTCAACCGGCGGACGAAAACTAAGAAATTGGGTTCTGATCATTGGATTCGGCGGATTATTTGCATATGGGTTAGGAACCGCAATTCCGCATGCTGTATCGCGGTACTACATTGAAAAGTCTCGCCATGAACTGGAAACACGACAGCTGAACACTCAAAGGGATGCGGAATAAGGAGTTGCCTTGAAGTCCCTCAAATTGTGTATATATCTTAGATATGCATCAACACTACTTGTCTCGCCATCCCTACCTAGTTATGTCAATGTGTCCATTCTCCCGGATGTCCATCTTTGTAACGAATATAGTCTTTCAAAGGATGAACTTACGGTAAAAATCCTTCACCAAACAGATTTAAAGACAAGCGTGGGAGAACTTCAACTTAATGCGTACTGCGGCTTAGCCCATTTCTCTTCGCTCTTGATGAAACCCAACGTTTTGCTTCTTTGACCAAGATGAGGGTGCTAAGATGCCAGTCATTGCTGGTGGATAAACAGTACCAAGCAACGCGCCCAATATCCAGGTTCCTTATCGGCACAAGGAAGGATCCCACGTTATTGTCTATCTCGGAGGTGTGGATTATCGCGCTCGTAATTCCATAGGTGCGGACTCACCGTGTTACTTGGTAATATCCAATTAGGCAGTCTCAGACCTCAAAGCACGTAAAACCACTCCTTCGGCCCTCCTGAAGAGCTGTCTTGAACGTATCGCGGCTCGGAATGGCCATTTGAATGCATTCACACACTTGGCATCCACGGACGAGCTAATACGGAAGGCCCTACTCGCCGATGCACGATGGGCTCAAGGTTTGTACAATCTGTAAAGAAACTTGCGGGTGGTTGGGAAACTGAGATACATGATATGCCAAAAATATAGGAACGCCGCAGGGGCCGCTGGACGGCATTCCGATTGCAGTTAAAGCTAATATATGTACAAAGGAACACCCGACTACGTGTGCCTCAAACATACTGAAAGGTTAGCTGGACTATAGCGGCACCAAAGCGCATGAACAGCTAGTAACCTCTTAAATGAAGACTTCACCTCGCCTATCGATGCCACTGCTGTAAGGCTCCTAATGCAACACGGAGTTATAATTCTTGGAAAAACCAATATGGATGAATTTGGGATGGGGTATGTGTAGATCTCACTTTATCGTATACCTAACATGGTTTTGTTAACGATCTTCCTCTTTCTCCCTGCAAATAAGTTCCACCAATATCCACAGTGCCCATGGTCCCGCTTATAACCCATTAGGACCAGTTCCTGAGGGTCATTTGGGAGGCAGATCTCCAGGTGGCAGCTCTGGTGGCAGTGCTTCTGCTGTTGCAGCTAATATGTGCTTTGCGTAGGTGTGAAATTGTCATCTTCCATTATTTCCACGGCACGGTAAGAGAATAACTGTTGTCAATTGTTAGTGCCCTTGGCTCGGATACCGGTGGAAGTGTGCGAACTCCTGCGGCGTATACGGGCATTGTTGGGTTCAAACCTTCATATGGCCGATTCTCTCGACGTGGTCTAGTGGCCTACGCCAGCTCATTAGACACCATCGGCTTACTCACGAAGAAAGTGGCAGATGCAAAGATTTTGTATGGTAGGGTACAATGTAAAGCTACTACAGTGGTTTCATCGCTGACTAATTATCTCTTGTGACCCTCACATGGACTTCTATGCAAAGATATACTTGCTCAATATGACGAAAAGGATTCAACCTGTCTTCAAATCAATGAGGAACCAACTGTACTTCATGGAGACCTGAATGGCGTGAGAGTAGGAATACCGCAGGTATATGGCCAGTCCGTAACTTAGGTGCCTGCACCTGACAAATTGTTGCTAACTGTATCGCACCGCAGGAGTATTTTATGACTGGCCTATCGTCTGCAGTCCTACAGGCGTGGAATGCTGCCGCTCAGCATCTAGCATCGCGAGGAGCAACAGTGGTACCTGTTTCGCTCCCGAACACAAAGCACGCTCTTCCTGCGTATTATGTAATTGCTCCTGCAGAGGCATCATCCAATTTGGCGAGATATGATGGCATACGATATGGTATTTCTTGGCTCGTAAGAAGCAGCGTCCTTTTCTACTTTTTAACCGTCCAGATGCAGGTCACCAATCAGAGCGGTGTGATAGCACGCTGAAGCATGAACTTTACACTGCAACACGGACAGAGGGGTTTGGAACAGAAGTGAAACGTAGAATCATGCTAGGAACTTTCGTATTGCAGGCCAAGTGCGTATGTGGAGGTTACTCGAACGATGTTATAAAAAATCTAACTCGCTAGATGGTTTATAGTTCATACACGAGCTACTTCCTGCAAGCCCAAAAATTGCGCCGCCTGGTCCAAAGTGACTTTGACAACGTCTTTGCCAAACCCAACCCCTTGCGCTCAACAGATTCCGGCTCCCACAATTCCGCTAACGGTGTAGATATTCTTTTAACGCCCTCAGCAATGGGCTCAGCTCCACTTCTTGCTGACATTGCAAACGACACCGGCGAGACACCAGTCAACGAATACGCAGATGATGCATTGACAATTCCTGCATCACTAGCAGGACTGCCAGCCCTGGTGATACCTTATGGACAAGATACGGAAGGCATGCCAGTTGGTGTCCAGCTATTGGGACAATACGGGAACGACAGGGCGGTATTAGATATTGGCAAGATGCTGGAGGCGTGCCGAACACCGAACTAGTGATAAATTAAGCCCGGATCAACCCTCATTGGCGACCGCAGTTGTGAGTGCTTATTTAGTGCTCTGGGTCTGCTAGATATAGCCTCTACGTGACTGTCCACCTGTTGTTCTGTTGCGGAAAGATTTCATCAAATCTAGGCAGGACCTGGTTTTGAGGTCGATCGACTCGGTTACACCATGAATTGCACTTGACCAACCTACAAATGAGACTACTAAGGACTAGTAGATCAAACGGATTTTTGTATTTCATCCATCGACTAACGAGTGAAAACATCGCAATAAATAATTCCCAAGATAACTACTGTTGATAGTCCACGTTCCAGCGTTTACATAAGAGCAACTCACTATTCCGCACCTCCTCCCTCTTGCTGGGTCTCACCCGGACCTGACTTAAACTGACTGAAATCCGCCCTATATATGGCAAGAGTTCGTGATAATGAACGGCCGTGTCCTGTGATACAAATCTCTTCGAACCTACCATCCCGTTTGCAACGCACTTGTATCCAGCGCTCCGAGCATTTCGTTCGTGTCAAAAGAATCCTTCTGCTGGTCTCTTTCATTAGTCTCACTGGCTGACTCCTCGGCCTATAGGAAGTGCGTAAAGAAATGCGTAATGGAATTTAGATATCAACGATTTGGCCAGGACTATTTCTGTTTTCGTACCTCGGAAATAGAGGACGATACATCGCCCCTAGGTGGATCGAATTCTTCCCCCAGTGACGATCGCTTGTGAGGAAATGGATTCTCCTGCCGGATCAACCAAGCGCCAGTCAGATTATCACGTCAAAGCCGTGCTTCTGCAGAATGCCTCTTACTAACTGGATCAAAGGCTTCCCTCACGTCAAAATCTTTACTTTCGAATTCGCTAGACAGATGTAATCAGGGTTAGCTGCATTGCCGCTTGAATTTACCCAGAGGAGAACATTTACCCAATCCACTCGGCGTTTGATTCATCTTCCTCATCATCTGAACTTTCAACACCCATAAACCGGTCTGGAAGATCAGCAACAATCTGGTGGCAGAGATATCTTGCAAACTAATGAAAGCATACATCAACGTTCAGAACCCGGAAAATTGTTCAAAGCGCACGCAGGTAAGTAAATATAAACTCTGTGGGCAACCGCCCGAATAGTTATTGTTCCAAAAAAAAGTCCAAGGACTCGCTTGGTTCTCTAACGACAAATTGTACGACTTGAAGCGTATCTTATGACTCTAGTCGTAGTTGCCTTCCCTCGACCAGGTATCATCGTCCCGTTTCCACCATGAGCTGTCTGTACTGTTTCTCACCTGGTCGCTGGCCACGTCTCCATCTCCCACGTATACATCGCTGGTCCCGGCGCCAATCGAATCAAGGTCATCTTCATCATCGCTTTCCCGTTTGCCAGCATCCCCTTTGATGGAGGCACCAATGTCCGTATCATCCATCCCCCCACCGGCAAATCCACCACCCACACCGGTCACCAGAGGTAGATGATTTTGTTGCGGTCCAGCGTTTGGTCGAACCCCGCCAAGTGGTTGCCTGTCCCTTTCCTTCGTCTCCCGCAATATGCCTGCGACATATTCTTGCCAATCTTCTGCGCCTATAAGATCTACGTAAAAACAACAAATTTATATCGACGCATTGCACATTGGAACAAACCGCCGTGAATACCTCCTATCTCTTGACTCAAATCTTCGCTACATTTTTCAAGTAGTTTGCACACTTCATCGGAAATGTACGTCAAATGACCCATGTACCCTAACCGTACCCCTCGTGGTTGCGTCCTGAGACGGGTACAACCGTTAGAAAACTGCGATGTGGTTTCTTCACGATTTCATGTCACTTACACTTCAAAGTCGTTGTCGCGTTGAGCTTTAGTAATTCGCTTCGTAAGCTCTCCATCTTTGAAAATCTGACGCACAGTAATTCTCAGCTGCGGCTTAGAGCAACAATTCGCCACCTGGACCTTACCGATAGTACAAGTTTTCGTACAACATCTTTCACCGCCTGCATTTGCTCTTCGACCGAGATAATAGTATTGGTTTGGACAGGTACAGAGACCGTCTCCGGCTCCCGTGAAGCAGTTTCAACATCGCCTTCTGGTTTGAAAGGGCTAGGTGGCTTGCTCGCGATGGTAGTGCTTGTATACGAGTAAGTGTTGAACACTTTCGCAATCATATCATACACAACAGAATGCAGAAAGTTGTTCCAAGGGAAATTAAAGAACAAATCCTGTTCAGGAATATGGTGGACATCAAATATCTACAACGGAAATATTGCCAATTGCGACTATCTTACCAAGCATACTGGGAGAATCTTGGCATCAATGAACTTGTCTGTTATTGCAACAAGTTCATCAGCGACACTAGTATTTGGATTCGTTGAGAGTTTCGCTTTTTCATCTGCCGTTTCGCTTGTTTCATCCTCAGTCTTCTTGCCATCATCCGTAACTTTTTTGGCGCTGATGAGCCTCTCAAAGAGCGGACTCGAAGTATAGAGGTATTGTAGATGCAGAATTTCTGCGAAAAGCTCACACGTTTTTAGGCGCTCAGATCCCAAAGGATGTTGCTTGCCTATCGTAGTATTGACAGGTTCCTGGTGGAAGGCGTAAGCAGAGAGATACATATTACTACATGAGGCGGTACCACGTACACTATGTCTCGGTGCATGTATAAGTTCAGCGAATTGCAGCAGTCGCGAGCCAATGACTCGCAGTAGTTCGTTCAAATCCGTAGCTAGCGCTTTCAATTTCTCGTCTGATGGGGGTGGAGGTCCTTGTCTCTGCTGTTGCTGTAGCTGTTGATACTGATGCTGCTGGTATTCCGCTTGTTCGATTTCGCTAATTTATATCCATTGAATACGCATCATGAAATAACTATCGGAGTTCTATTATTGACTTTACCTGCAATATCGACGAATGAGCTCAATAATTATATTGATTCCGTTGGTCAGTGTGCTGCCGGAATGTGGTGCAGACTTTTCGAGCATATAGTCGACAAGTTTGTTCATGATTATCTCGCTATTCATAGAGTTAGCTTAGTATCATGCGCCGTTTGCGAAGAGGTATATGCAACCTACCTTTTCAATTCATCAACCAGGGCATTACCACCGGAATTTGGAGAGAACATTCCGCCTTGTTCCCCCATTATGGATGCCCCCAGTCCGGTTGGCATCAATGACTCCTGAGGCCCGATCGCCGAATAGCTCACAGCGATCACATCCAGAAGGGTTTGGGCAGCCGTGTTGTGCGTCTATACATCACGGTTATATGCATGTTGGTAATATAGAGTGCCCCGGCGGAATTACCTCCGTTTCTAAACTGGGGTCCAGTCGGCTTACAAGAGTCGACACTAATCCTTCTTTGCTCAACCACTTGAAGAGTTTTTCCGCACGTTAGTAGACATCGCAATCAATGGTAACGCGAGCTACTCACCTCAACCACCCCGGTACCCTCTGGAACCTCTTCCATGCTTATTAATTTGAGCAGCAAATCTGCAATTGCAGAGCTTCCTATGTGAGCCAGAAGTTTCTGAACAACATCCGGCTGAGCCCTAATGAAGGTGATCATCTTTGAAAGAGTCGACAATGTTCAGCAATCATCATCTTTACAGTATTGACTGCCAATTGTTGACAGCGAATGTGTATTCACCTCTGGCATCTTCTTCTGCAGTAGGACACTGTTGACTTTAGTGAAATAGCTAGCGGTCAATGGATTCAGTGGTGCAGGTCTATCCAGAAGGGTCCAGAAATTCTTCAATAGGTCGATGTTGGCGAGAATGGCTTCGCATATTGAAAAAATCTCGCAACTTAGAATCTCACTTGCGAGATATGGGTACCTTGGAGGATAGAGTTTTTAGAAAGAGCACGTTGGAAACAGGCGGCTGCAAAGCATACTTAAAACGTTTATTCTCATCGAGGTCCTCGGCCATAATGTACCCAAGCAGTTGCTCCAGAACATCTGTTTTGCATAAGCTAATAAATTGAGTTAAGGAGTTAAGGTGCACTTAATTTGAAACTAAAACAAGACTTCATAAAAACAAGAGACGGGACTTGGCCGTAGTCCGACCAAATTCCCACCCACTACTCTCAAGATCACTGCGGCCAATGCCGAGAGCTCTCCCCGGCAGTAAAGTGAAGCTTTTGCTCTTCAAAAAGGATACAATTCAATAAGCTTCGTGTTGTGCGCTTTGCATTCTTGCAGCAATTCATCCTCTTCAAGCAATTCGTCCAACGTAACGCCTTCCTTGTCCAGAAGACCGTCGATTGCAGACGCACTGTGAAATCCGAAGCGCCAGAACATCGCGTCTATGTCCTAAGCTGGAGTAGAAAGACGAATGTGGCCACTCAAACCAATATTTTTATGGAGGTGACGAGATGCGTTGCTGCTTCGATGAAACCCCTTCAGGTTAAACGCGTAGAGCACTTTTGAGCGCTGCTTTGAAGTCAATCCTGCACGACAAATCACATGATACGCGATTCATCCCAGAGGTTATCATCCTTCCAGCAGCAATTATCAGAATGATCGCACCAACTAGGCGGATCATGTCGTTACGAAAATTAATTGCAGGGCGAAGCAATCTGCGGCATTGCGAAACATTCGCCAGGAAGTATGCGACTGTGACAAACCCTCCACCCCTTTTGAAAAGAAGTCCCAGTGAGATCGCGCGGAGGGCTGGTGCCTTGCAGCTAGTATTGACCCGATGGGGAATAGAAGCAGCTTATCTTGCAGCAAATGCTAAGGACGAGAGTGAGTTTTTAATCTTATATTTAGCAAAAGTCTGCAAGGAAGGCTCATTGCTGTGAGTTCAGCTGGAAGGATCCGACAGAGCTTTGACGCTCTGACTAAAGCCGTGGACGAGAGTAAAATTGCAAGGTCTTTCACAGAAACAGTGAGTGGGGTTACGAAACGGCAAGGGAAATGTTGATGCTTTGGCTCAGCTCACGCGGTTGCCGATCAGGAGCAAAAGTTGATGGACAAGCAATTCGGGTCCTGGGATGCAGTCCAAGATATTTCAAGCTATTGGGCTCGGTGGGAATCTTTCGGTAGGTTAATACCGTACTGCTACCTTTGAAACACACATTTACTCAAAGTTCCTACCCAGGAATTCTTTTGTGGACACTCCGCATAGTAGATGGGATCCCACGCTATCATGTTACCTTTCCGCACGAATTACTCTTTCAGGCGACAGCCATTGTCCCAGCTTTTCCGGCAACTGTGAAGGACTTCATTGAGGTATGACGTCGATTGATCTGTCACCGTCTGGTCTCTGTGAAGGCTAATATGTCACTCTACTATTCAGTATTTCAGCGCGGGCGAGGGCCAAAAGCCTGGTCATATTGTTAGCGAGAATGAACTAAGGGAGGCAATCAATCGTGCGGAGGCCTGGTACTGGCGAGCTCGGGCCCAGATTGTTTTGGACTTGAAAGAGAGCTTGAACGGTGATACTGAAGAAATTAAGGAGGCAAAAAGGTACCAGCGATTGTCCGAGCAACAACATCCTTTGCGGATTGGTCGTACTGATGAATTGGAAATATAGGAAAATCCCTCACGGGCTTCGACAGATCCTACAAAACATCGACGATGCTGTCGGTGCAGCTAGTGCTCGGGCGACAGCTGATGGACTCATTGACGAAAGTGTAGCAGATGATTTCGGGGTGGATGGGACAGCATATCGTAGCTTGAAAAGCGATCAATTGCGTGACGTAAATGACATTGCTGAATTCAGGTTAGGAGCATTGTCATGGCTGACAGGGAACGATTGGGAGTTTGAACGGGGAGAGCTGAAGTTCATTCATCCGCTTGGCTCCTTGTGGGCCCCTCATGAGGGATAATTAGGCATTAGAAACCGTTGCACGCATGTATCCACTTTATATATTGAATTATTTATGCGAATGCCATAGCTGCCAATAATTGGTGTGCCTGCTGAAAAGTCTAAGACCGGACGTGTCAGTGCAGGACAGTCATGCCTACAGATACGGTCTGCTGAGCATACTCCGTTTGACATTATAGCATCTCTATTATTTGTCAAGTCCTCTCTACGATCTTGTTGGTGCCGAAAAGCAAGCGAGTTGCATCGGTCATTGCGGTGATGTCGCTGGTGGAAGCGCCACTGTCATTATTCGGTTATACATGGATGCAGATGTCAAACACTCTCGGAGGTCAATTGAGACAGTGTGGTCATTTCCTGAATGGGAAACCAGTCAGAATAACCATTTGACCGCTGCGAAACCGAAAGTCTGCATAAACTACCAAGTGAAAGGGATAACTCGCAGTGGTCGGCTTCCTCTGGAAGGGTCGAGAATTGGATGTGAGGATTACTTTTATAGATACGGGGGAGCTCATTGACGTAAAAGGAGCTAGGAGAAGAGACTATTAATACCGGCTAACCAAGCCAGTGTAGAGGACAACACTGTCGCGGTGCACGATACCTTAGTGACGACTTTGCTGGACATTTATCTGTACCGAATACCACGGTAACCTTCTTGAGCAACGGGACCTGCACGTTAGCGCCATTCCCCACTCCCAAATTTTTTTGCAGCGAGCGCACGGAGAATGCCTTGATCAACATGTTTGCTTGTGGAGTGCATTTGCAGAATTGGAAATCGCTCCCAGTCTACGATGAGTCACGTCGTTGCCATGGTGTCCATGGTTGGAAACGGATTGCCAGATTTGTGATGCATGATGCTATTCATGTGATTTAGTGTATTGGCAATAACAAATGTCACAACACAATACACCAGGGAATAAACCAGCGATAACTGGTTCGGAAAAGCCAAGTAATTCTCTCCTTACAACCAACCAACTACCACTAGACCCAATTACACATGCAATACATTACGGTTGTTCTAACTGGGTAACTAAGCCCACCACACGAGAGAAATCCTACTAAGCCCTTCCGAAATTCTTTAGTCGGAGGATGTTCAGATACTAAGGTATATCAGAATTAGACTCGGAATACGGGCGTGGGAAAATACAAAGATAATGCATACCTGCGATCATTACAGCATAGCAGTAATAGTGTTTGCAAGGGGTTATGTTGTTTTTGTCGGGAGGGCGAGGACCTCGACACCAGAGCGGCATTCTCATGATGATGGACTTGAGAGTGCTGCGTGAGCGTTGGGCAGATGCTTTGAGAGTCGAGGGATAAAGAAACAAGATGGGGGGCAGACAAGGGGGGGTTTATATAGAAAAAAGAGTGGATAGATTGAGTCATAGAGCATCATGCAGGTGGCAAACTGCAGAATATTCTTCTCATAGATGTAGTAATTGCACCGTTCATGGCTGCACATATTGGACCCGTTTTTTTGTTTATCTTCGTGAGGTTCACAATAAGTGTGGTTAATTCACTGGCTGCAATGCTCCGTGGCACTGACATTTCTATTTTCCCACACACTATGTATGTACCTCTGCCTATATATCGATTGAAGTCGAACCAGTGATGCGAATATCCGCAACAAGAGACCCTCACCTTTTACATAATACGATGATAGAGACTCGCGTAATCAGATAACACAAAACGCTGTCATCCTGGTGTAGACCATGGTGGCCCTGGTGGCTACTTTCAGGGACAGAACAAGACGAGAAATAAACCCATGGTTTCCATTGGAATCATACAAATGTTCCCCTTTTGTATGGGGTATTCCATTCGAACCGCTTGTGGTGTGGTTACATCGATATAGAGATGGATGTCATTAAGGGGGAAAGGAGAAGAAGGGAAGATAACGCCCAGTCCATGTGGGGGCATTTTAGCCTAGATCTTTTGCGCAGTCTCTTGCACGGGCGGATTTTCACATAAAAGAGAGGCATTCCCGAGTCCCCCTCCCCTCCCCCCCTCCATCATCCACAGCAATTCAACACAATGACCTACCTCCCCTCCCGCAATAACATACTTCCCTGGCGCGATTGAGGCCAATAACCTACCTCCCTCAATAACCTACATCCCTCGCCTCAATAACCTACTTCCGCGATAAGCTACATTCCTCGCCTCAATAACCTACTTCGCGATAACCTACATCCCTCCTCCCTCGCGCGCGCGTCAATAACCTACTTCCCTCAATAACCTACATTCCTCCCTCCCTCGCGCGCGCGGCTCAATAACCTACTTCCCTCAATAACATGCATTCCTCCCTCCCTCGCGCGTGCGTCTCAATCACCTACTTGCCTCAATAACATTCCTCCCTCTCTCGCGCGCACGTCAATAACCTACCTCCCGCAACAACCCACCTCCCTCCCCTCGCGCCTCAATAACCTACCTCCCGCAGTGTGAAAAATCAAGCTTTCGGGATAGACGGTCCAAGAAATCGTCGGGGCGACGGATTCTTCGCAATAAAGAATCTATAGAAGACGATATGGCGGCCACGAGAAAGCGTGGAAATCTCCGATCTGCTTGACAATCAGCGAGTGCTTCTGCGCAGTCAAGATTCGATGAAAGCCGATGCCACGACCCTAAAAGAATGAACTTCATCATTTCGCTCATATATGCAGCCGAGTGAGTTGATTTCATGTTCTCATTGAGCGAACTTCGTGATACATAATTATATGGTTACAGAATGCGATGTGAGTATGAGATTTCAGGAACCCAAGACGACATCAGAAAGGTTCTTGGACGTTCAACGAATAGTCGGCACCGAGCCTGTTGAATGGGAATAATCGGGCCTCGAGCCTGTTAACCTTGATGGTTATGTACAGTATGTGGACATTAACCACTTACCCCCGTGATCACACGTGAGGTTGTTGAAGACAGAAACCAGTTCCGCCTACGGATCACGTGAGCTGACAGTGGTCAGTCTACATACTGTATGCAACTCGTAGTGAAGAAACCATCATAGCAGAGGGTTTGAACTGGTCTATTAAGGTCGCAATTACTTAAGTATTCCAGTAGGTCATATATCAAACCTGGTTAACGCACGCACTGCAATGTTCCTGCTATGCTTGACCCATCATCTCTTCACTACGAGTTGTAGTTATGGGCATGTGTTAGCCGATTGCATATGAAGTGAACAAAGTTGTGTTTATTGTGAATATTTAACAAGTCATCTTAACGAACTTTCCAATTTTCAATTCTCATCGCTCGGGACAAAACCATTGAAACCTCTTTAATAAGTGCAGTGCTCAGGAACGTGTACCCTTCCCAGTGGATGCAGGTTTTCTGAGATTACAGAAACATGACAAGGTCGCAGGATGGAAGGAATAAAACGACTGAATATCATGTGTGAGCAGTAGAAAGCAGAAAACCCCTTTATATATTATTCGGCCCAGCGACCTTCTATGAATTTGCCACACAGATTGTCTCCATATCCGGACACCACCTAGGCCAGAGTCTGTCGAGAGGCAGCCTGGCACTGCTTCAACATATCAAGGTAGAATTGGCTAAAATGCCGTGATAAGCAAATTGAGATCAAATATCCTCGATCACCAAAAATCACATTCTCTTACCAGGCATTAATATCATTTGAGTTCTGATCCAAACACCGGAGGAATGCCTTCTGGTCAGGTTCACAGGCGGCGAACGCCGTCTGGTTCTGAGCGAAATGCTGGGATTGCACGTGTTGCTGAGGAGGTGCCTGCTCGGCAGGGGCTGGAGCTGAGGAACCGCCACCAAACATTCCGGTCAATCCAGCTCCAATAGTGTGCCCAACCTAATCATAGAATTAGCTAACTTGAACGGTAGCAAAACAAGTATCAGGACAAGCATCCACTCACCGCACTACCAACAGCTACGCCAGCAGCTGTCGAAGCCATCTGGGCGAAAATACCCGGCTGCTGAGGTGCAGCGGAAGGAACGTGGGCAGGGGGAGCAGGAGCTGCGGGCGCAGGGGGATGAGCTGCTGGAGCGTGTGCCGCAGTGGTTGCGGGGCGTGTCTGGGTATGCTGAGCCGATGGACGGGACGGGGCAGCAGAGCGACGTTGACGGGCCATTTCGATTGATGTGTGCGTGGGAGGAAGCGTGATGACAATGATTGACAAGAGGCAAAACTGTTCAAACTGTCGGTTGGAAGCTTTAGGAATCTTGTTTTCTCAATGACTCATAGAAATACCTCTGGGTTGTCATGACAGACACGTGATACCACCTGTCAATGAATCCTTCACGTGCTGGCAGGAGCTGTGTTACTGGCATTGTGATTGCTATGGCAGCCGGAAACTTCCGATTGTCGCACAAATTAAGCATTGCGGCGCTGTCCGTAGCTGAGTGGAATGTCATTCTAATGTGATCTAATGGGTATTGATGACATTTGCGGTGACATTTGTCAAAATGGATCTGATGGTTGGGACATTTGAATCCGGATGTGATGGTTGCTATAATGACTCATGTGTGACGTCAAGATAAGATCTTTCACTGGGCTTTGCCGTATAAAAACCCCCCGTCCTCGCGTTCGTCCGCCCGTTTCTTCTTCCCGTTCCGGTTGACTTTATCCGCACCCTGTCGGTTTTCTGCCTGTCATCCCGTTCAAAGTTCCTCACTTGGCTTGCAAGGTTTCTTCCTTTCAATACGATCAACTCCAGTGAGACCGGCCGTGCCTCTTTGTCCAAGGTAGGTGAATGAAGTGCGTGGGAGGTATGGGTGCAGCGTGTTGAGAGGAAGAAATGGCCGCTGGGTGCTTTTTGGCGTGCAGGCCATGCAAATCTTGGGGGGCTAGTGGGTGCGCAATGAGCTGATAGCGCTGATTCCAGAATCGAAAGGAATCACGTCGTCGCTGCAGTTGCCGTGTAGCTTCATTTGCCCTGACTCGTGTTCGAAGTGGCTCATCCTGATCAGCATTCGGAGACTGCACCGCTACCTGTACCCATCTTACCACCATAGCGGAGCGTGGTGCTAGTCATGAGATCTGCCCGAAAACCTGTGGGCCTCTCACACTCGCAGTTGCGAGGGATCACCTCCACCGGCCGTTGGTCCTCACCAACCCTCCATACGCGTCCTTTATCTCCAACAGCCAACTATACAGGATTGCTACCACCCTCCCTCCTTCAAGCTACCCTGAAAATGCCAAATACAACTATCAACGACAAGCACACCGTCTCCCCCCTGAAAGGTGGAATGTCCGTGCTAAAAAGTAGACACATCAATCAAGGTATTATAATATTTTCTTGATTGCTTACTAGTTGCTTCACATCTGGACGATTTTTGATGTAGTATTTCAATACAGGAACATCATTTCCTCCACAGCTCCGCACCAGCCTCCGTCTGCGAGGACTTGTTCCCCCTACGCAGGAGACTCTTGATCAACAGATTGAACGTGTAATCACGTTCCTTAATACCTTGGAGTCTCCCATTGAAAAGTATTGCTACCTATCTCGTCTTAAGAGCGAAAACGTTACCCTTTTCTATCGTGTCGTCATTGATCATTTGACTGTAAGTGTCCGGACCGTGGAAACTCACCCTTTCGAGTTTCATATATGCTAATTTGCCGACTTGTAAACAACAGCAAATTACACCACTCATCTATACCCCTGTTGTGGGCGAGGCATGTCAGAAATTCTCCCTCATCTATACACCTGGTCTTGTCGAAGGTCTCTTTTTATCCAAGGAGGATAAGGATCATATTCCGGAAATTCTCGACAACTGGCCATATCCTAACCCGGAAATATGCGTTATCACGGATGGCAGCCGTATTCTCGGTTTGGGCGATTTAGGTACGTCTGGACATTAGATGGGCTCCATCCCAGGTGTGTGCTCACTGTTGCATTTCACCTCAGGGGTAAATGGCATGGGAATCCCAATCGGCAAACTGTCCTTGTACATCGCTGCCGCCGGCTTCGACCCTTCTCGTACTCTTCCCATCACCCTGGACATGGGAACGAATAACGACAAGTACCTGAATGACCCTTTGTACCTTGGTCTGCGTTGCCGAAGACCAAGCGATCCAGATTTTTTTGATTATATTGACAGTGTGATGGCGGCTCTACGCAAGAAATGGCCAAATGTGAGACATATTTTACTACAGCCCCTTAAAGTATGCCGGCTGTTCTGATGTCCTTCGTCCCGTATCCTGCAGATGCTAGTGCAATTCGAGGATTTCAGTTCTGAACATGCCTTCCAAACTCTGGATCGATATCGGAACGAATACCTGTGCTTCAATGACGACATACAAGGGACGGGCGCCGTGATTCTGTCCGGTTTCATCAACGCCTTGACCATGTCCGGTGTCCCATTGAACAAGCATAGAATCCTGTTCTTCGGAGCTGGTTCTGCAGGGGTTGGCGTCGCGAGCCAGTTGAAGGATCATTTTATCAAATCTGGAGGGATGAGCCCAGAGGCTGCAAGAGATGTATTTTGGCTTGTAGATTCAAAAGGACTGGTGACATTTGACCGCGGTGATAAACTTCCTCAGCATAAAACACTCTTTGCTCGCTCGGACAACGGCGGCAAGCAATTCAAAACTCTCGCGGATGTGATCAACTACGTTCAACCCACAGCTTTGATTGGGCTCGCAAGTCAAGGTGGAGCATTTACGCCAGATATCATAGAGCTCATGGCTTCAATGAACGACCGACCGATTATCTTCCCTCTTTCGAATCCCTTGACGGTAGGCCAGGATGAGTGTACGCACGTTGGGAACAAAGGTCAATTGGCTTACAGGCAGTTTCTCCTGGCGTAGAATGCAGAGTGTACATTTGAGCAAGCGATGATTCACACAAAAGGAAAAGTACTTTTTGCCTCCGGTACGGCGTTCCCGGCTTTTCTCGATCCCTACAGCAAACAAGTGCTGGAGCCTGGGCAGGGCAACAATATGTACATCTTCCCAGGTCTTGGGCGCGGCACTGTCCTTGCGAAGGCGGAGCGTGTCACCGATGACATGGTCTACCAGAGTGCCGTCACTCTGGCTGAATCCTTGACAGAAGAGGAGCGGAGTGAGCAGCGCTTATACCCACGATTGCAACGCATTCGGGAGATCTCTGCTTTGATCGCCCGAGACGTGATTCACACGGCTCTACGTGAGGTAAGGCGATTCATATTCATCGCACGAATGGAACCATTGTACTAATGTGCGCGGTCAACAGGGTTTGGCTCATGAACCTGCCATTGTTCGCATGTATGGCGCCAGCCCAGGTCAACCCGTACCAGCTGCTACCTTGCGGGACGAGGAAAGAGCTGCTGCGCTGCTGACTTACGTGCAAGAACGCATGTGGAATCCAGCGTATCCTGAAGACTTTTCTGGGCTGAAGGCGATGATGTGAAGTATGAAGGACTCTGTCGTTTATTATTTGTAGTAATTTTCGATTGTGTAAATAGATAATGATCATTTACTTGAGGAGAGGACAAACGTGACCAAATGCACAGTCTGACATCTCTTTAACGATAAAATTCAAGGGAAAAAGAAAAGATACACAAAGTTCCCATCCCAACCAACATCTCCAGACATGAGGTGCCACTACCACGGCCTCCAGATCTTTTCAGATGGGCCCTTATCCTGTCCAATTGATATCGCCTTGTTGTTTCGTTCCGCCTCCACAGCTTCGGCAGACATTGATGCACGGCGGCTCATGATGTGAGCTGCATTTAAAAGCAACTCTGCCGCGGCTGTAGCGTCATCTTCCTTGCCTGTCGAATCCGCAGAAGTGCGGAGCTTCGGCTCTAGTTTGTTGGCCACTGCAGACGACGAGCCTAAAACTTGACCGTCCGATGTCATTGAGCGTGATTGGTTTAAGGCCTGTACTACGCTTTTCGGATCTGATTTTGCAATATAGTTTGGTGCGGACATGGAATTACTCTCCTTGGTTTTCACTGTCGACTGAGAGGCACGCCTGGCTGCCATAAGGGGAAATGCAGTCATATGTGTCCCCCCGGCAGCTTGGGCCAGAGCGGGTTGCTGACCGATAGCTTGGTAAGGAAAGGGTATGATATACTGTGGCATAGGATAGATCATGGTCGGCGGTGGAAAGAAGTGTGGGACTGAAGCAGGCTGCGTCGTTGCGGCTTGTGAAGATTTTGATTGCTGTTGTCGCGGGGCGTTTGACGAAACGGGAGTGCTTGGCGGAACAAACATTGGAGCGATAAATTGGGGCATCGTGGTGCCGGTTGCAGTCAGGGCAGGGTTGACAAAGTGACCTTGACTAGTAATGAACGGGACCATTGGCGAGACAGCCGCATTTGGTGCCATGGGGATCATTGGGTTGATGAGGAGTGTTGGGCGACGGTTACCGGGATGTGGAACGAGCACGCTGCTACGTCTGGACATAGAAATGGGAAGCTGCTGGGCACTGGAACTGCGCCTGCCGGAGCCAGAAGATATCGATTCTCTCTTACTGTTGCCCGCAGTAGGGGAAGTTCCGATTGCTCGCTTTTCTGCACCGCTTTTGTTGCGATTCATTTTAGCTCGCCTATTTTGAAACCACACCTAACACCCCCAGGATTAAGATTAGCGATCATTGGAGCAACGCTAACGTGAAAATTGCAACTTTGTACCTGAACCTCGCGATTCGTCATTCTCAACTTCTTCGCTAGCTGCTCCCGAATTTCGTAGGAGGGTGTGTCGGTTTTATCGAAAACGGAGAGGAGATCCGATAGCTGTTCGGGCGAGGTTCGCTTGCGTTTTGGCTTGCGCCTAGGGCCTCTTTCTGCATTGCGCAGGAGTGATTCGGTTGACGTTTCAAAAATAGACTCTTTACGTTCACAAGATCTTCTGTCACTAGCAGTGACTATCTCATCTTGAGGATGCAAACTGCTGACTTCCGAATCTGTATATTCGTCATCCTCCTCTTCGTCTTGTTCAGCGGGGTCAATATCCATCAACTCTCCACAATCAACTGACTCAGGCATACCATCCACTTGGCTTGCCACTGGCATTTGCTGGCCCGAAGGGAAGTTTTCTTGGACGGCGTCGTCTTCCGCGGCACTGGCTGTCTGCTGAACGACGTCTGGAGGCTGTGAGGCTGCTTTCGGCTGGTTCTCATGAACCATTTTCTCAATTGGCTGTTTTTGGTAGCCTGTAGGAATTGATTTACTAACGCTGTTGGTTGGAGAGCTTACAATGCCGCGAGGGGAAGGAGAAGGTGAACTCGTTTCTTTCTTCATCACCTCGTCTGTAATCATGGTAAACCGCAACGTGAAGTTCTGCTTTTGACAAGGATAACGATCGATTAACTTTGTTTCTGTGTTGTTGTTATTTACGTCTTGTAGTCCCCGATTCAGTGCTCTCGGATAGGACGGGAAACGGTCCCACAACAACTGCGAACAGCCAGGAAATGAGGCGATAAGAGGCGCCTTAACGATTGTTACTAAAAATAGTCACCACTTCTCACTTGCATAGAAATATAAATATATCATTCAAGTATATTTACACCTCAGCGCAGGCAGCAGATAATGTCATCCCCCCACTATTGACCTTACAACCAGTTTTAACCAACTCATCAGCTAAAATCTCGCTCGACTACAGATGTTCTTGTTGCAAACTAGCCTGCCCGTGTCACCTTTGGATATGTCGAGAATTGGGGACTGAATCACATTTGTCGCTTGCTGTAGATTTCCAAGTCGTAGAAATTCTACTAAATTTGGTCTTTGGAAGCAGATGAATAGCCTGCCTTGCGGGCGTAAGTTTTGTGGACCATCCATCGGAGAAGCTTATGTCAACATGCGCTTGGATCCGGTTTGAATGGTTCGGTATGACTCAGGACCCTCTCACCGACCAGACGTGAAGATTGGTGTTGTGTAGTGATCATCTGCAATAGTTCCCCGCACCCTCCTGAGGAGCTAACGTTTTCAAGCGCATTAACACTATGAAATGAAAGATGAACTCTCGCATGCAGAGTGGCTTCATACTTGTCAGATGATTCTCACTCGTCTACAAACAGCAACCACGTTGTGCCTCAGCTATTGGGCGGCACGAACTTCGCAATAGTTGAGCGTTAGAGTGAACTTTTATAACGGTACAAATCCTCTGCAATTTTCAGCACCACAGAGGCATGCAGTAGCCCGCTTTGATCTATGAGGTTTTGTGCTTCCTGCATAATCAAATGTGAGCTCTTCTCCTTCGTCCACATCTCTCACGGCAAAAAAAGCAAGTTGATGCTGCTCGGGTGACAAGTTATCTATGAAAACCTGCAAAGAATAATAGATGAACCAACGATTACACAGAGAGAACATACTGGAGATTATATACCGCGTACGAGGCAATATTGGGGTCGCATGAATGGTTGAAAAACCGAGCGATGTTTCCCTTCCGATACGCATCCACACAATACTTTGCTCCTTCGCCATCATATTCTCCGATATCATAGTCAATATCAAACAAGAACGTCACCCCATTTGTATCGTACGTCTTGCCTCGCTTCTCGGCTTCTTCAGATGTAATCATTTCTCCAACGTACTTGAACACAAGCGACGTTGCAAATTAGATGGTAAGTCGACGGGGTGCTGCAGACCTGACGCCTCACCTTTGAGATAAATTGTCCTTTCGCTATTCGTTGGAGTGTTCTTACCCCCCAACCTCTGGCATCCCCACATCTGAAAATCTCCAAAGGAATCTTCCGCCCTTTTTGAACAACGCGATTGTGACAATCTTGAGGACATGGACAACTACTATGACACTCGTATATGGCGCCGTAAGCGGGTCCTTCCTTCACCCGTCCATCAGAATCATAGGGTGCATTTTGCTGGTCGTACTCCAAGATGCACAAACAATCTTTTCCGCAAAAATCCTTACACTCACAGGCGACAGTGAATTCAGAGTCGGGTATGTCGGTCCCGGTATATATGAGCTTCTCCGTCCATTCGAAATTTTCCGGGGGTCCGCTATTATCAAAGGTATTTCTGACCAGTGTCTCATACTCAGCACCAACTAGTAAAGCTCTCCATGCTTCCCAATGTGGGGTGTCTGGCAGCGGTCTGAAAGAATCCGAATCTTGACGAGTAATTTCCTTCGAGAGAAAATCGCAAGACATGCGTCATGCAGTCAGCCATACTTGCAATTGATACAGAGACAAAAAACGCAGTGGCTCTACCTGTAACGAGTGCCTGATCGAAGTCTGTTCAGAGCCTCTACGAGCCGGCCCTGAGTTCAATTTCGGTACTGAGAAATAACATCCACTACTGCCCCCTTTTCTTTCGGACCTTATGGGGTTCGCATCATCTGCGGCACGTTTCCGTTTACGCGTATTGTGCGTGCGGGCCCGCCAGAAGGTCGCCAACAGGTCGGGACAATCAAGATTCTCCTCCGGCTCCCAAGAGGTTTCCGTGTAGCCTTTCCACTTGAGCTTATATTTATACCTTCGCTACGCTGCTTGCGTAAGTTAAACTGAAGATGGGAAAGACGACCTATCCGAAGTGGGGCAGCATACGTTTACGCTCTTCACATCCAGAATCTCTTCAACCTAGTCAAATTTAACGCTATTTGCACTCTGTGTTGTCCAAGACCGAAACGTCCGATAGCACTGACCTCATATCTCTCCTCATCGGATGCGTTCACATTTGTCGCCGCATCGTGATTGTTTGATAAGGGATCTATGCGCATGGTTGTGGCATCGTCAGTAGGCTACCAAGGTTCGCATCCTGAGGAAGAACCGTGCTCACGTGGATGTGGATGGCAAGAACTGCACTCCAGCCGGCAATACAGCCAATCACTCCAATAGCCCCCTTGATGGCCACCAGCACATTGTTCACACATAAATTTAGGCTTCCTCCAAGAGGCAGAGATTCTTTGCGAACACAGCCGCTGAGCACACGACTTGTACCTCATAAGAAAGGAAGGATAGCTGGCATCACCACCTTGCAGATGACCACGCTTGGCACACCTCTACGACATTGATTGACGTGATGCATTTGAAACCACAATTGGAGTGCTAATGGGTACAGTAGTGCTGACAGCAGGTGTATTGGCAATAACACACAATAGTGTACAGTACAGTAGCTACCATCTCCTTACAAGTAACCAACTATCACTAGGCCCAATTACACATGCGATAACGTCACGGTTGGTCAACCGGGTAACTAAGCCCACCACCACGAGAGAAATCCTACTCGCCCTTTGATTCCGAAATTCTTAGTCGGAGGATGTTTCAGATACTAGTAAAGTCAGAATTAGACTGGTAATACGCGTGGGAACAATCATAACGATATACCTGCGATCGTAGCAACATAGTAGTAGCAGCATTTGCAAGGAGTTATGTTGTATTTGTCGGGTGGACGAGGTCCTCGGCACCAGAGCAGTATTCTCATGATGGACTTGAGAATTGCTTGAGCGTTGAGCAGATGCTTGCGAGTCGAGGGTAAAGAACAGGATGGGGGAAGAGGACGAGGGGGGGTTTATATAGAAAAAAGAGCGGATATATTGAGTCATGGAGCGTCATGCAGGTGGCAACAACAGAATATTCCTCTCATAGATGGCCGCAAGGGCAATTCGTTCATGGCCGCACATATTGGACCCGTTTTCATAGTATGGCCGCACATATTGGACCCGTTTTTCATGGTGGTGCATCTTTTGTGCATCAAACCTGCCCACACAGTACGGTTTCAACTGCTTGGGTGCGGCGACAACGAGCCTGGATAAAGCTAACTACTGTACTAAGCCTAATTACCAATGATTCACAATAAATGTGGCTAATTCATTTGGGTGCAGTGCAACATGTTGACTGACTTGCATTTCCACACTCACAGAGTCATTAGACATGACAGACCAGATGCCATTGAACCCGTACCTTGCTCATCTTGAAAATGAAAGAAGTTGCAATTCTGGCCAACGGGGTAGAAGGAGACCAGCTTTCGCGCCGCGAGAAGCTCTTGGAGGCGCTTCACGACCCATGCTGGTCCCGGACGCTACACTCCGACACCAGAATCCGTCGAACGTGACCGAAAAGATCAAGCAGTCAAATGCTAAAAACATTTTTCCTGCGCCAAAGCGTCGGCCGCTACATTCGCTTGGCAACTACGCGCACTATTACTCAAAACGTGTCGGCCCTCTTGCGCGTGTGGATCCGCGGTTAAGCTGGTTTGAGAAATCCTGGTTCGCGGGAAAGAAGGTGTTGGATGTTGGCTGTAACGCGGGCTTTCTTACCATTGCCCTGGGAATGTTCTTCTCGCCAGCTTTTGTGGAGGGGGTGGACATAGATCCAGGCCTGGTGAGGAAGGCGAGGATGAACCTCGCGCAAAGAGCTTCACTTGTTCAACCCGTGTCAGGAGACCACGGGCTGTCAGTTGAGACACGAGCAGAGGGTCAGATGCAGATCGACCAAGTCGCTCAGTCGAGTTCATTAGATCCCATGGACATCGATCAGGTTAACCTACCCATGTCAATGGATCTTGAGTATTTCCCGAAAAGTTGTCTGCTACAATTGGGAAGTCTTCCAATCATCGCAGCACCACCCGAATCTTGGTCTTTGCAACCCTTTCCTTTAAATGTCCGGTTCCGCTGCGGTGACTGGTTGCATGAGCCGAATCCATCGAACACAGACTTGAAATACGACGTTATCTTAGCACTCTCAGTGACCAAATGGATACACCTTAATCACGGGGATGACGGCATCAAACTCTTCTTCCAGCGATGTTTTCATTCATTAAATTCCGGAGGTCTTCTTCTTTTGGAACCGCAGCCCTTTGACTCATATAGGAAGCGTGGCCTCATACTGAGCGATGAAATGCGTAACAACTATCGCAACATAACCTTGAAGCCTGAGGACTTCGAGAAATATCTCGTTGAACGCGTCAACTTTCGGAGGGTCGATCACGTTGTAGCGTCCACTATGAATGGTACCAAAGGGTTTTGTCGTCCCCTATTACTTTGCATCAAATAGCAGAACTTTCTGCTCCCAGAGCGTCGCAGATCGTCATGTTCGCAATTGAATATTTTCATCACAAATTTATCCCCGATATGGTGACCCAAATAAGAGTGCAGTCTCTAGATTCTATCTACAGTAAGGTATCTACATGAAATCCAGTTCCAAAAAGGTATGTCATATCACAAAATCGAGTGCCGTTTCTCTCTGGCTACGCTCACCGCCGTCTGATGGAAGGCAGGGGTGGATATGGATATCCGGAAATGTTAGTGGGAGCGCGATCGCAGATCGTCCTTTAGTATTAAACACTGACCTGTACCATGATATTTAAATCTTCCATTACCACCGGTTTTGTGAGAAAGAAGTCCATTCCACTCTCCAGACATCTCTCTCTATCTCCTTCTAAGGCATTAGCCGTCAATGCAATAATGGGCACATATTCATCCAAAAGGTGTTTGGCCCTGATCTCACGAGTAGCCTCAAATCCATCCTAAGCAAACATCAAGGACAGAGCATGAGAACCTATTACACATTGACAGCTAGCTCGGCGTCAACCAGCAGTACAGTACCATTATAGGCATCTGGCAATCCATTAGTACTACGTCGAAGGCAGACATATTGGAATGTGACGAGGGATTCGACGACGAGCGTTCGGCGCTTACAGCTTTTATCAAATCAATACATTCCTTGCCGTTTACAGCAAGTGTTATTTGCGCATAGCCCAGTTTTTGCAACATTTTAGCGCATATCAATCGATTCATATCATTGTCCTCGACGACAAGGATCCGCAAAGTTGATTTGTCATCTGAGGTTAGAGCTTCGGTAGCTTCTGGCCCGTCCGTCAGTGTTGAGTTGCTGGTAAAAGGACTGTGGGAGGCCGCTGTCACGCAGCCATTGGGTGGAGGATTCGGATGATTTGATTCCACGACAGGGAACTCGACCATAAAGTAGAACCTTGACCCATGACCCTCCGTACTATCCACATCGATCAACCCGTTCTAGTTCAACGAATTACATGATCGTGTATCACGGTGTTAAGCATAACTGGGAACACCACGCTTACCATCAATGTAACAAACGATTTACAAATCGAGAGCCCCAGCCCTGTTCCCCCAAATTTCCTATGTCGAAGGGTGAGTGATCCATGATCAACACCGTTCCGAGTTTAAAAGTGAAGCAACCTGGTTGTTGACGAGTCTGCCTGCGAAAAAGGCACGAAGAGCCGTTTCTGCGCTTCCGGTGATATTCCAATCCCAGTATCAATTACCTCGAACAGGAAAGGTATGCTTGAAGGGTGGGCCTCTCTTTGATTGTCATCGCTATGTGATCTATCTGTTCCATCTAAACTATCGCCAACCTCACTTGCCGCGCGTGAGAGAGGTTTTCTTAATGCTGATATTCGGCGGACCCGTATTGTCACCTTTCCCCTTTCAGTGAACTGTACACCATGATATATGAGCCCAGATGATCATATCTACTACTGATCTCTCCCCTACCTTGATTGCGTTGTTTGTCAAGTTTATGAGTATTTGACTCAAACGATTTGGATCTCCTATCACAAGCGTCTGTCCTTCATCGGTCACTTCAACTTCGAGGGCCAGTCCTTTAGGCTCCGCTACGCATGACGTCATGCGTGCTACGTCGGCAACCACTTCTGCTATTGTGAACGGGATTCGTTCCAGTTCTATCTTCCCCGCTTCAACTTTACTGAACCAACGGAATTAATAATCGACTATTACTGTAGCTTAGTTGCTAAACCGCAGATATCTCACCTGAAATCAAGGATATCGTTAACCACCGTCAAAAGAACGCTAGCAGACGCTCGAATCCCATTGGCGTACTCCGCTTGCTCAGGTGTAAGATTCGTTTGCAATAGCTGAAAAGGCCAAGAGCATGAGCAAGGCGAAAAGAAGTCATCAACCTGCACGTCCTACCAAGGACGTCATTCTGCACAAATGGATGAGATACCATAAGGACTAAATTGAAATTGGCAAACCCAGAATCATTTTGATCTTACCCGGTAATGCCATTGATTGGAGTTCGAACTTCGTGAGACCTGCGGAATGAACTGCGTAAGAACCCCTATGCCCAATTTGTAAATGCCTTTTATAGGAATCCATACATATTCCGTAGGAAAGCAGATTTGTGTCTCGATGCTTCCAGGGCCTCTTCTTTTGCCGCAATAAGTTCACGCTCTGTTTGTTTTTGTTCCGTCACATCCTGTGCTGTGCCTATCAACTTGGTCAGACGGCCTTCTGCATCCATAATACCACGGCCCCGTCCGCAAAGGACGCGGACATGCCCATCCGCTCGTCGTATACGATGATCCACCTCATAAGGAGTTCCTGTTTGCACACACTGGTCAATGGAAGATAATATCAATGGTCGATCTTCGTCCACCAGGAGCTGCATGTATTCCTAGATTCAGAACCAGTTAGAAACGTGATGATGACTAATCAGGGTTCATAGGTGATGCCCCACCTCCATGCCAAAGTTCTTGCTACCACTGCGTTCGGTGGGTTCTATTCCAAATATCCTACAAAGTTCGTCACTCCAACTTATGGAGCCTATGCCGACTTAGGTATGTTTGTGGGAAGTTCGAGGCGAAAGACCGAAATAATGCAAACCTGTCGCAACATTATATTCCCACGATCCGAGATGAGCGATTGCCTGCAAAAAGGCAATAAAAGAAAACATGAGATCGGCAGTCAAGACAAACAGCAGAAAATAGACATACCTGGGCCTCCTGGAGACGTAACTGGCTGATGCGAAGACTTTCCTCTTGTGTTTTTCTGTCTGTGATGTCTCTCATGAAACAATAATGTCCGACAATTTCCCCTTTATCGTCGTCGTAGCATGGTACCAGCGTTACTTCTTTGTAAAACGTCTGCCCATCCCGTCGCACCGCACGCACTTCTGCCACCCCTCTTCCTTCTTTGATCATGCTTCGATATGCTTCATTGACTTTTTCTTCTGAGTCACGGTATAACGTGGACTCCCAGCTTTTTCCAATCAGCTCCTCGGGATCATACAGCAGTGTTGCTGCATATGCTTTATTTACAAGAGTGTAATGCCCTTTTACGTCCACACGAGCTATTCCTTCCACTGCATTCTCCATTGCCGTCGATAGCTCGCGCATTTGCTTTTCCATGCGCTTCTGTTCAGACATATCAACAGCCACCGCTACGAACCCAACGATAGGGGCGTCACGAGAGCGTGAGGCGCCGACACAGTTAACAGAGAGCTTCACAGGCACACGCGAGCTGTCTTTTCGAATATACCTAGAAAGGAAATCAGTTGAGAGTTGAACCAACCAAGAAGAGCACTGTCGACCTACGTAGCGGCAAGTTCTTGTGGCACTCCACAGCGTTGGGCCTGCGATAGAACTGTCTTATACGCCTGAACGTCCGCTGGGTCCAAAAAATGAAGTGGAGACAAGATACCGATGACTTCCGACGAATCAAAGCCGGTAAGGCACTCGGCGGCCCGATTAAAAGTGTGTATCACGCCCGTATGGCAATCGGATCCAAATATTGCGTACTGACAAGCATCCAGTATTAACGCTGAATCCAATATTGCAGTTGCCATTTTATGGCCTGGAGGCCTTATGCCGCCAAGTGATGTTATTGGAGGCGTAGGCAGGTCCGTCGCTGATCAAAAATCTTGCACCAGCCAAGAAGTGCGCCTGTATCGGTGATGTGCTGGCCCAGCAAGTCCCGTGATCACGCTTACAGTAATAACCCCAGCAACTAACCACCATGTATACACCACAGTGTTGTCTCGATCATCTAGGCGCTGGACAGGAAAAATGCTGCGTCCGTTGTCAAGAAAGCGACCACAGCGTCCTGCGCTGCTTGGGCACCTAGCCTGCATAAGAGTAAGGACAATGGCAGGTGTGCTGTACGCCAAATATCTTTTCTCACTGAACTCTATTATTCTGTAAACGCCGTGTGTGTAGCGATCACATATCCGCGCTCTGGCCACGGCTGCTCCTAAATTCAAAGTTCCTATGAACCAAGAATGGGTAGACTTAGTTAAGAAGGAGCTCAAGGGAAAAGACCCGATCGATCTGACGTGGAATACTTCAGAGGTCCGGGACGGTTCAGATCTCTTAACCGGGCGGCACAATATTGCTCACAACGGCTGCAATACTTGTAGGGAATACCTGTCAAACCATTGTATACAAAGGCTGATGTTGCGGACGTACCTGAAGAGATACCAGGCAAATTTCCTTTTACCCGAGGTAAACTTGGTGATATTCTGACGGTTATCATGTCGCCCCCTGTCAATCTGATCATTTTGAAGGACCTTATGCTTCGATGTACACAAATCGACCTTGGACGATTCGCCAAGTATGTAGCCATCAATAATTGCAGAGAATTTTGATAATATCATTCAGAAAGTGTTGTCCTGCAGTATGCGGGGTTCAGTACTGTGGAAGAAAGCAACGCTTTCTACAAGAAGAACTTGGCCGCTGGGCAACAAGGTCTTAGCGTAGCCTTTGACCTTGCTACTCATCGAGGGTACGGAACTCTTCCACCTTATACCGGGGCGTAAACAACAGCTCATTTGGTTGATCTGTACTTCCAGATACGACAGTGATCATCCACGGGTCGTGGGTGATGTCGGAATGGCAGGAGTTGCCATTGACTCTGTTGAGGATATGAAGGTATCTCTTTGTTCAGTGACCTACTCTCTGTTTGTGTGATTCACGATAATGCGTCTTAGCGTTTGTTCGATGGTATTCCGTTGAATCGCATGTCGGTTTCGATGACTATGAATGGTGCAGTTCTGCCTATTTTGGCCATGTACATTGTTGCAGGGGAGGAGCAGGTCTAAGCCATTCAGAAATCTTGAACCGGGAGCCATTGATGAACCAACTCACCTTATCTCCAACAGGGTGCACAACAAAAAGAACTGTCTGGAACGATTCAAAATGATATTCTAAAAGAATTTATGGTTAGAAACACCTTTATTTATCCTCCTGAACCCTCCATGAAGCTGATTGGCGACATCTTTGAATACACTGCAAAGGTGAGTTTGGAGAGTCGTCGCATTTTGGTCAGAACTTTTCATAAGCATGTGTTATATAGCACATGCCGAAGTACAATTCCATTTCTATATCTGGTTATCACATTCAGGAGGCAGGTGCAGACAATGCCTTGGAATTGGCATTCACCATTGCAGACGGCTTAGAGTAAGTTACAAATTTATCCGATTGTAAGCCCTCTGCTCTAAATTTCGGATTTAGATATGTCCGCACAGGTACTGGCAGTAGCAAGTGAGTTGCTGAACTACACATTTATCCTATGCATGATGCGATAGGTTTGAAAGCGGGAATGACTGTCGACGATTTCGCACCGCGCTTGTCTTTCTTTTTCGGTACGCATATATGTCATACTGCGGCTGGTGAGGTGCTTGATGTTAAATCATCTGCTCTTTTGTGTCAGGGATTGGGATGAATTTCTATATGGTATGCTGCCTTGTAGGCGCCGTGCTGAGTTCGACGCGGCGAGCGGCTTATTGCATTCTGTGCCGAAGGAAATCGCGAAGTTACGGGCAGCGCGTCGCCTATGGGCCACATTGGTCAAGGAAAAATTTCAACCTCAGAATAAAAAATCGCTTTTATTAAGAACTCACTGTCAAACTTCGGGATGGTCACTAACGGAGCAGGTGGTGACATCACTGTTTCGTGCCTGAATTTGGGACTTACCGTCCTACTGAAATTGTAGGATCCTTATAACAATGTAATTCGTACGACAATTGAAGCCATGGCAGCAACGCTGGGAGGGACACAGTCCTTGCATACAAACGCGCTCGACGAAGCTATCGGTCTGCCAACCGAATTTAGCGCGCGTATTGCGCGTAACACACAGCTTATTTTGCAAACAGAAGCATTCATTCCTAAGGTTCGTAGGAGGCTACAGAAATGGACCTGCCGCTCTCCGTTTATATTGACGGCGGCCGCTCCCTTTTTAGGTCGCGGATCCATGGGGTGGCAGTTACTTAATGGAGTCCTTGACCAATGAACTTTTTGACAGAGCGCACGCTATTATTGCAGAGGTGGAATCTATGGGAGGAATGGCTAAAGCGGTTGCTAGCGGCATGCCTAAGCTGAGGATCGAAGAGTCTGCAGCGAAGCGACAAGCACGTATTGACTCCGGGCAAGGTATCGTGGCTGTCTTGATTACGCAAATTGCATCATTTCTCATATGTAAATACGGGGAGTAGAAGTTATTGTTGGTGTGAATAAGTATCGAGTGGAAAAAGACGACAATGCCGTGGATGTCTTAGCCATTGACAACTCTCAAGTCCGGAACGCCCAGGTATGCATGGGCGTCAGTGGTCATCGGTGTCCGACTAATAGTAAACACCGCCGACTAGATCGCTAAGATCAATATTGTCAAGACCACGAGGGATCAGGAACGAGTGAGTTTTGTCTCTCCTTTTTCGGACTTGAGTTGTTCCAGCCTTTGCCAACCTCAATGGGGTATCATAGGCAGCGAGGGCCTTGGACGCGTTAACGGACAGTGCAAGATCCGGACAAGGAAATACCTTAGCATTGGCGATTGAGGTACTATCGTGATGCACTTGTTTCTGTATTTCGAGTGCTTACGCATTACCTAGGCTGCCAAAGCACGATGTACCGTCGGGGAAATTACATATGCGTTGGAGCAGGTACGATATTCTCTGTGCTATATATGCGGACTGACATAGTTCCAATGCCCATTACCGTATATACCAGATATGGGGACGCCACAACCCAACAGTCAGAGTTGTCAGCGGCGCTTACAAATCTGAATACGGAGCAAGTGAAGATATCGCCAAGACCTTGGCGATGGTTCAGGTACGAGATGGCACTTTGCAGGTTTCATTCACCCTGGTGACTTATAGAGGTGTAGGAATTCATGCATCGTGAAGGCCGTCGTCCACGTATCCTAGTCGGCAAGATGGGACAAGATGGACATGATCGGGGAGCGAAGGTTATCGCCAGTGGTTTTGCGGATTTGGGATTTGATGTCGACATTGGACCCCTATTTCAGGTATTTTCCCCCCTTTCTAGTGTTGCTAGGAGCACGTGCTGACCACGGGTGTGGTACTTCTTACGCAGACTCCAGCTGAGGTCGCCCGTCAGGCGGTCGATGCTGATGTTCATGTAGTGGGTGTCAGTTCACAGGCCGCTGGTCATAAGACTTTGGTACCGGAGCTGATTGAAGAGTGAGTTGTGTCGCAAATATTCTTCAGCAGAACACCGCTAAGTGAACATCATATAGGTTAAAGAAATTAGGGGCTTGCGATAAATTGGTTGTTGTTGGAGGAGTCATTCCACAGCAGGACTACGCTTTCTTGTACGAACATGGAGTCAGCTGCATCTTTGGGCCTGGTATGTATCGGTTTTAATCATTGTTCCGTAGTAAGATTAACAGGCATTGGTGTTTTCTATAGGGACCAAGATCCCCCTCGCGGCTCAAGAAGTTATTCGAAAGATTGAAGAATCACACAAGGATGACACTGGCAAAGCTGCGGCATCCGCCTGATCACTCGTTCTACATAGCTCTAGATAGGACATAGCGGACTACATACGTTCATATCATATTTCTAGTTCATCTGGCTGCGTGCATACACGTAACCTGCTACAGTCTCTGGCTCCTGTGCAATTTGACCAGTCTCTCTCGATTCTGCCGCTTCTGCAGTTTCGCTACTTTAATCCTTTCTTCCTGCTGGAGTCCAAGCGCCTCCCAACCCCACCATCCCCCGCCCACATACTTGGCCTTCAGTCTTCGCTGAACCTCATCTAGCGGACTTTTAACAGGTCGCGGACATAGCTCCAGTAAGCGTCGCGCAATATCATGTTTGCCGTCTTCGGCGAGGTCCCGTGATTGAATAACCAGAGACCATACGTCACTAAACTGAATTTGAGGAAGAAAGTAATAGCTGCGGAAACGGTGAGATTCGGAAATGGTTCTGAGCGCTGAATCGAGATCCCCAATTCTAAGAAAGCCAATAATTATTAGTATTGTTGTCCAATGCGTAGCAACTGTAACTAGGATCCAACCTGGTGTAGCCGTTGACAACCCTCACAAAATTACGGAACATATCCATTTTCCCTCGCGCTTCACGTTTCCGAATGATCTCTTTCTCTCCCTCAGTTAGCAATCCGTCCCCATGCAGTGGGGCGTTTAGCATCATCTGCGCTTCCTTCTCAGCATCCCACTTCAGAAAATCATCCCACATCGTCTGGCCCCACGTTTCCATAGCGCGTTTGTCACGCGTGACTAGGGCGAGAACTTCAGAGCGGGCTTGGCCGCCAGGTTCGACGCCATAGCGCTGATATTCTTCGTTGAAAAAGCGAATTGCTAAGGGAAGGGCGCCAGCGTTTGCTGGGTTCGCGCAAAGCACGGACAAATATGCATCGAGGATGTGACTGGTCACCGGTACCACTGGCTGGGGAGATGTGTCCGTATGTGTATGGTCGTTAGCAGAGTTCACAGTTGGTACGCCTGAGGTCGTTAAGTATCTCCAAATTGTCTTCGCATCTTCAAGAAGCACTTTAGGGGTTGTATCAACTGATGTGAGCCGAGGTACTGATGAATGAGTGCGTCCAAAAATCTCTGAGGTATCGTCAGACAGTGTGCAAGGTGTCGAGGGAACGGCTTCCACAGAAGATCCATCATCAGATGCCGCATGCGCCCCAGTTGAGAGGTGCCGGCTCTCACCCTCTGATGCTGTTGGTCGTCTCTCTGTTGTCACCTTGGTATTAGCAATGTGTCTATTCAACCCATTCTCTGTATTGGTACAGCGCTTGCTTCTTCTAGAGATAGCGACTGCGTGCGCATAGGTCCGCAACAAGTAGGTGAAGGTGTGCCCTGTCGGCTTCAACTTAGATTCTTCTCCTTCAGCTTCCGCGCGCTCCACAAGGTCGTTCCATATTAACCGAGCTCTCATTATATCCCCTTGTTTTGCTGCACCTTTCAGCAGTACGTTGTATGTGTAAAGGTTCGGTGTAAACCCTTGCGCGGCCATCTGCCCTAGTAGCTCAAATGCTTCTGGATAGTAATCGCTTCTGGTAGCGCATGCTTGAATCAATGAAGTGAAAGTGACCTCCGTTGCCATTAGCCCTCGCTCCGCCATTTCTTGAAAAAGGTCTAATGCCCGTTCTGTATCGCCCGCTTTCGAGCATGCATGAATCATTAAAGAATAGGTGACTTCATCTGGCGCACATATTTCGGATCGCATGTAGTTGAAGGTTTTCCACGCGCGTGCGGTGTCGCCCGCTTGAAGACAACCTTTGATGAGGGAGGTGAACACAGGTTGCGTAGGTTGTATGCCAGCAGCTTTCATGCGGTCATAGAGTTTAAACCCAGCTCGGAGGTCACCATGCTTAATGCATGAATGAACCAAAATTCCGTAAGTGATTGCATCTGGCTTCAGATCATATGCGTCCAATGTTTGAAAAACTGCCAGTGCTTGTTCATGACAGTCCGCTCGCGCATAAGCATCCATCAAATGATTGAAAGCAATCAGATCAGGCTTCATGCCATTCTCTTCAATCATGTCAAAGGCCATCTGCGCTTCCCTTGGTCGCTTGGACAAAGCGTTCACATGTATGACTTCGGTGATATTGACAAGAGAGACATTTCGTCGCTTTAAGCTGCTGGCAGCCGTCCGCCGTAATGCGTTCAAATTGCGCTGATCTTTTTCTGAAGTATCAGAAAAGCTCAACTTTAACCGGAGTAGATAGTCAGGATCTAATTTCGTTGCAGCTACACTATTCGGTCCCACACAAGCATTAGGTTGAGGAGGGGTCGAGAGTGCATTATACAGCTCCTGAATATCTTCACTTATAACGGGGGCATTAAGCTAACCACACGTGCCGGAGTCTGAAATTAGCAATATAGACTATTCATCAGAGCTCAGAAAGTGCATACCGTTTTTGAAACTTGCCGCTCCTTCGAAGGATGAGTATGAGGAAGCTCAGGTGTCCTATTACTGAGAAGAGGTCTTATGAAGGGTTTCGTGTTCATACTCCAGATGAATAACCACTTACTGTTTTCGTGCGCTAGACGTCGAGGGCGTTGCTATCTCCAATTGCTTACCATTGACGGCCGCCGAGCCAGGTACCCGAACAGCGTGCAAGCGATCGCATTTCGAAGACTGTAGTCTTTTCTGGTACAGCGTTCTCCAACAAGCCAATGAGCAGCACTGTCCCAGTACCGGGAATGAGCCAGGAGAGATGGTTAAAATTCGAGACACGGAACGTGCTGCTGCGGTGGATGACATTCCGGTGGACAGACCTTCCAACACCCAACCTGTTTATCCAAAAATAATTCAAAAGAGAATCCAGCCAGGTTCCAGCCGAACCCGTCAGTGACAAACTGGTTCCCTCGACCACAGAGTGACGGCTGTTCGCCCTCCTGGGGATCCCAAGTTTAAAGCAATGTCAACCCAGCATCCATACAATCACGCGCCACCAGTTGCAGACGAAAGGCAATACTTGCCTCCTCGTACTGCGTCACACCCTTCAGCAGCAGCGCACCATTCCCCGTTTCCATTATCTGGACAGGTAGAATTTGTGCTTCGCTATGGTCTGCAAAATCGTCCTGTTGTTGATTTTGAATTTGATTCTTCGAAGGCAGTATCACCATACTATCCGAATGAAATGCAAACCCCACGTCACCAGCAGCATGCGCCTGTACTATCTCAACAACAACCTGTTCCCAATATTCCACCCCAACCGTACCCGCCACCTGGTCGCCCCGCTGGTCCTCGATTAATCTATCATCGACCGCCATATTCCCCGCATGCGCCACAATATTTCCAGCAGCATCTGCCTCCATCACAACAGTCGTCGACAACTCCACAGCGGGCACCTGGTGTGCAACAGCGTCCATCTAGTATGAACTCCCACCGCCATTCAATAATGGCTTTACCTCCGCAGAATCAGTACACTTCTCTTCCATCTTCTCGCCATTCGATGTTGCCCGGATCAAAAATACAGCAATTTCCACCAGTTGCCCATGAAGCGGTATGGCGTGGTGCAAGGCAACACGGGGGCCGTCCTGAGGATCTGTCTCATGGTTGGTCGATGTATTGAAGTATAGATATGCGTGCATGCTAGCAACGAGGCAAACCCATCCCTAACCTACAACCACATTTAAGGGAGCGTGTCCTATCCCGTGTCGAAACGAGATTCGGCTGCATCGATGGCCGCGCCAGTCCCAGAGCGCGGGGCGTTCACAGCCGCATCACCAAACGAGGGGCCAGAGTGTGTGCCTCTCATCGAGTTTCGCGTTCTCGAAACCCGATTGACGGAACTTCAGGCGAAAGTTGAAGAGTATGAAAAGACTGTGCAATCATTAGAGCGAGCGAATGAAATGCGCAAAGAGGATACGAAAGCAGATAGCGAAAGACTCCGAATGACCCAGGAAGAATTGAACACTGCCATTTTGGAGATTTCGCGGTTGGGACATGTGAACGAAAATTTGGAGAGACTTTTGGATGAAACGGTGTCTCATCAACAGAAGATTCACCAGAGTCCTGGATCTCACGCGCGATCTACAGCCGATATTCCAAGTACGGATGCCGCAATTATGCCAGCGGAATTGTCAGAGCTGCGAAGTATTTGCGCCGAGGCACAGCAGCGTGCCCTTGTTGCTGAGACCGAGATGGACCGATTGAGAGTTGAGCTATCAGCCGCGCGCTCTGCGGCAGGGGAGGTGATTGCGTTGCGCAACAAGACCGCCCATTTGGAAGCTATGTTGGCCGGCAGATTGAAGAATGAGGAGATAGCTATACCTGCGAAGACTAATGAGGAACAATCGCTTGAAGGTCATGATGAGCTCGGATCCCTCATCGGAGAGAAGGGGGGGATTGAAGAAGCTCAGAATGTAGAACTAGAAGCGAAGTCTGGTGAAAACAACGTATCAGTACAGAAATCTGTCGTATTAGATCCGAACGGGATGGTGACCGTGCTCGAGCGGCGCGCTTCTGAATTGAACGCCGAACTAAATTCGTCTAAATCAGAGGTAGCGCGATTATTGAAGTTGAAGGTAAGTTTGAGCTTGCACTTTCCAATAGCGTTAGCTCTGCTTCATGGGTTGCTGTGCTAGGCAAAGTACGAAGCGCACAGTGTAGAAGCGGAGAAAGTGTACAGCTCCATGGTGTCCATTGTTGAGTCTGACCGTCGGCGACTTGCCAGTCTTGAGAGTCAATTACGCGAAGCACAATCTCTCCTAAACCAGTCCAGCGCACAAGAAATGGCAAAGCTACAAAGTGAGCTAGAAAAAGCGAGATTGGATGCCGATCGATGGAAAGCGCGGGCCCTGGGATTGGATGTTCAACCGGATACGGTGATTGAGACTCGCGGGGACTTGTCGGAGCATCTTTCCTCCGTATCACTCGATAACAAAGAGAAAGAGAATTTGAGGAAAGCAGCTCAAGCCGAGTTGGAGGTCAGTGTGCACCTAGATGCCATTATTTCCCCGTTGCTCTATCCAGCTAACCGCATCTTCGGTCATTAGCTTCGAGCAGCGCTTCTCTCCAAACAAAACGAGGTTGAAGCTCTGGTCGAAGTCGTCCGAGAGAAGGATGTGGACATGACTGGACTTAAGCGAGACTACAAAGCTTTGTTGGAAAAGAACATGGAACTGAATTTGAAGATTGCAGATAAAGGGCCAAAATAGGGTAGGATCTGTACACAAGAGCTGACATATTATTGAAGCCTATATCCTAGACACATTAGTAAGGATCTCTTAGGTCCTCGTCATCTTCAAAAACACAGCGGCGCTACAAAAATGCAAAAAATTATCAGATTACTAACATCTGCCAGTGAATGATTTCATGTGGTCGACCAACCATAAATGGACACGCAACTACACGAGCTCTAAAGCAAACGAATATTGTAGATCAAGCAATGTGGAAAACCCAACTCCGATCGCTAGCATCTCTATTCCTATGATTTGAAGTAGCCTTGTAACGGCAAGCGCTCAATCTGTAGGAAAACACGGGCCTGTGCTTCATTGGACAGGGACATGAAGTGTCCGCCCAAACGCTGAGAGCGGCCAACATTTCACCATCTGGGATCTGTGTCGTCGGTTGCCCCCCGCGACCGATCCTGATGTTTAGCACGGACGTGTCGTGCGCATCCAAAAAGGGGGGTAGAACTTTGAACTTCTATCAGACAACATGGAGCTGCCCCTGGTGCAAGGATAAAATGTATGAGGTGGCCGCCGTGGCCAACTTGTGTTGGACGTTCCGTGGATTGATACATATCTCCCGAAGTATGTTGTTCATCGGATCGAATCAACTACTGTTGTCCTCAGTTCTTCCACAGCGTTACTAAGAAATTAACAACAGGATGGTCAATCCCGCTCGCACATGGCACTGTCCACTGCAACTCGCTGGTCAGCATCCATGCAGCTTATAAGGCTCTTGTCGCCGAAGCATTTCACTAGAATGATTGCCGGGAAAACATTTCGCGACACATAGCTTGTGACCTTAAGGCTTTCCGTAACAGGTTATCATTCCATTCACAAATGCAACTGAGCAAGGAGGTGAATCCAAGATCACCTCCTTGCTCCAAGACCTTATATGACAGGGGAACGCAAGGCTATATTTCGCAATATCTTCCCAGCATCACGTCAGGACAAGAATAAAGTGCTCCAATACACGATATGCGTCACATGTGTCCTCGGCTTTCTGGATCAAGCCGTCCTCCCAATATATCCCCAGCCATGCCCAGCCCTCGCATGAACGAGCGCCATTGTTCACCGCTTGTTGACCCGCAGCATGGGCCAATATTGTGCCACCTCTCGAAGGTCTTTCTTCGTGTTGCAAACTTCTTGCTGCCGGACGGAATCAATCTGTCAGTGCAGGAAACTATACATTGCCTTTCTCAATTGACATTTCTGCACACGAAGTCGAAGCGCAGCGAGAAGGAGGCTGAAGAATCCGCATCGGCCCATGATCCATATTACCGCGTGGAGAGCAAGTACATTGTCCAAGCGTGACAACGGGCTCCCACATGAAATCGAGACGAAGCCCAAACCCAGTCTGAAGCCTTACCGTTTAGATTAAAGATAGACACCACACATTTTGCGAAGACTCCTTCAAGTTGGTGGCATGGCATGAGCGACAGCAAGGTTCGTACGATACATTTCGTGCAATTTGGCTGGGCTCGGTAGGCTCAGCAGCGGAACGGTGATCGTGAATTGTCCTCTGCAAGTCCCTCGGGACGACTCATACTTGAGCGCCTCATGTGAGAACAGTTTTCATTATATGTGCGTCTCACAAATAGCCAGGGTTTTCGTAATCGCATGCACAAGTCTCAAAACATCTGCCCATTTGCAAGGAAAAAAGCAGAGGGCCTATTGCCACAGTACGTCCTCAGCGAAACTTGCGATCCATGCAACGCTCAGACTATGCAACATACGACTTACGTATTAAGACCCTAAAGACGGAACACATAGAGCTTTAGCGACAGGAGCACAACACTCTTCTCTTACCGAGCAGGACAAAATCACAGTCCAATATTTCTCCAATTGGTTTAGATGAGAGAGACAACAAACCAACTCGTTGAGTTATGAGATACGCATATGCGCCAACACAGACAAAAGCCGGATGCTGGAAATACAGAGTCGGCCAGCATGTGTCAATTTATTGGATACATGACTTCACCTACCATAGCACTGATAAATACCATTAATATGGAGCTTTGAGGTTTTCCAACCTTACTATTGTAAGAGATCGTCCTCTTGAACATTTGACTGGACTACAACGAAATTGCGGTGGCTTCTCGTCACCAAATAGGAGTCAAGTACCCCTTCCGCTCAGCACAGCGTAGAAGTAAACTGACATTTTTCAGGTGGTAGAGTTGGGGCCCCGCAATTATGCTGTCCAACTGTAGGAGGGGGTCGCCAGTGGCATGTTTTTGCCGCAAGTGTCAAGAAATATTCAGGTCATGATTTTCTCAACACCACCAGGCCTTCATCAACAAGTATACGAATCACTAATTCCAACCAAAAGACGATCGACTTTTCCTTTAATCCTTGTTTCCCTGTATGCCAGCATATGAGAAAAACTAACGGAGTGAATAACATTATATCATACATAAATCATGACAGGTCGTGGCAACACTCGTCTAGTCAACATCCAGTAGATCAGATTGTACATGCCACTTATATAACTCGAACCTTCGGTCAGCTAACAGCGAATCAACAATAAAACCCTAGTTTTATCGCTCGCGTAATTGTATGCTATAGCAGAGAATTATGGGATAAGGAAATGACACATGTCACCCAGCATCAAGTGGGTCGGCAGCTGGCCTAGGCGTAAGGGCTCCTTCATACCATTGAGTGCGCACATCCATTATTATCATGCCTAAGCTAAACGGACACTCGGACCGCAGTGCCTAGCAAGCAAAAGCGTATTAATGTACAGTCTATTGTGGTACACACATGAGATTATGCTCACCTAAGGAAATGGCGACATGGAGACACAGAACGCCCCCGCGTAGCATATGATCTCTACACCATGACTCCCGTCCGCGCCACCTCTGTTTTTTCTGTATTGTAGTTTTGCTTCCGCGCTGCAGGTAGGTTTTCGGTTCGCTGAAGGAAGCCCTGTGATAGGCTGACTCTTCTTCGGATGAAGGGCGTCATTACATGATACAAAGTAGTGGTGCCACGAGCATTTGCAATTTAGAAGAGCAGACCCTGGCCGTAGCCTTGCGGCGGGCCAGCTGGCGACGAAGTCAGCAGATGGACCGGTAAAGCGGCAGATAGATCCATGGAAGATCGCCCAGTAAATATCCCCCATCGCTGAAAACCGCTTCTGTAAAATGGTAGCGACCGTGGCATGGGCTCGCATTCGGCACGCGCGGCATGCGTGTTCCTCCCTGCACGGCCGCTGAGGTCAAACAGAGACTCCCTTCCGCGAATGCAACGCCATATGCTCTTGTGAATCCAGGTATGGTTTCCATATCTGGACCAGAGTGTCAGGCAATCCACATTTTACGGCCCCACTTAGACATGTGGACAATAAACTTGCCGTTGGCTGAATTCCACACTGAATCATATTGGACCATGTTTCTGCCATGCCGTCCGCGTCCTGACACATCGAATGAGCCCTGAGCATCTCCTGGTAGTAGGTTTCGTCCGGAGTGAAGCCTTCCGCGGCCGTTAGGAGCTCGTGTAATCTCACAATTCCTGGAGCTCCCATTGACGCCACAAATCTTCTAAAAAGGGCGCGATAGGAGAAGCAATTCGGCTGGATGGCCCTACTCCACATTTCCCCCAGTAATGCGGTCATGTCCTCCACCCTTGCCCCTCTACTGCCGACAGCTAAAAGGGTATTGAAAATGTAAATGTCTGGTTCCACACCAGACGCAATCATTTCGTTAAAGATGGTTCGTCCGAATTCGTAGCCCCTTGCAATGCCCGCACACTGTATAAGCTGGGTATATATAACGCGATCTATGGTAACCCCACGCAGCTGCATGTCCTTGATTACTTGCCAAGCGGCTCCATAGTTGCGAGCGCGAACGTATCCTTTTAGAAGCTGTGCGTACGCTTTACTACTGGGCTTGCATCCTGATGAAATCATGCGCGTCCATGCACGTTCTGCACCGGCAACGTCGTTGCACCTTCCGTAAGCGTCGATCAAACATGTGTACAAGACGGCATCTGGCGTCCAGCCTTCTCCTTGTAAGATGTTCATGAGTTCTTCCATCTTAGTTAGCTCTCCCGCCTTCCCATGTGCATCAATTAGGGCAGTCCATGCTTTCAAATCTGCTCGAATGCCCATCGAATGCATAAGTCGGAATACATTCATGGCCCCGGCTGCATTTCGTTCGCGGGCGAAGTTACGAAGGATGATCTGGAAGCTTACGCGGTCGAGTCTGATCTTCCGCCGATGAGCTTCTTCCACGATTGGACCCAAGGAGGAGGACGTGGTAACACTACTCATGACGGTGTTGTATGTCACTGTATCAGCAGGAACACGTCGTTTACGCATTGCCGTCAGCACCTTGTCTGAGCTTGTATGGTCACCGGATCTTAAGGATATGTTTAAAAGGATGTTAAAAGTTCGCACATTGGGCTTGAAGCCAGTTGCTATAAGGCTCTCCATTAACTCGAGTGCTCGCGACACCCCTAAGACCTTCGCATATATTTTGAGCAACGTGTTGTAATTGACGGTATTGACATCACGGCCGCTTTTCTTCCAGGCCGTCAGAAGAGTGCTGGCTCTATCAATATATCCTTTCTTCCCAAGTGCAATCAGCAACGAATTCAAGGTACGTACTCCAGGCTCGGCACCGGCTCTCTTCATGGCATCCACGCTCTGACCAATCGCTTCCGGCTCCACATGATGCGCGCACCCAGCCAAAAGGCCATCATAAGTGATATCGCTCGGTTGTATGGCTCGCCGGGCTAATTGGTCAAAGAGCATTCTAACTTCCTCAAAATCGCCCATCCTAGCAGCACCCGCAATCAAAGTACCATAAAGAACGACATCCGGCTCTATCCCAGCCAAATTCATCAACTTCTGAAGACGGCGAACAGTCAACTGGTCTCCGGCGCGATAGTACGCATCGATCAAGATAGTATAAACCGCCACGTTTGGCTGCAATCCAATGGAAATCATTCGTTCGAAATACTCCATGGCGATCACACGACGTCCCGCTTTGGCGTATAAATGGATTAGAGCAGCATAAATGTCAACATTGGGCTGCAAACCTAACACATTCAGCCGCTTCAGCATGGATTCTGCCTGCTCTATGGCACCAGTTTTACCGCAGGCCTTAATGATGGCTGGAATCCCTACAAGCGTAGGCTGGTGTCCAAGACGTAGCATTTCTTCGTACAGCCGGGTAGCCTTATCAACTTCTCCAAGCTCCCCGTACATGCTCATCAAATCCTCATAGATCATGTCATTGATGAGTAAACCTTGTTGTAACATCCTCGCAACTAGACGCTCCGCTTCCTTCCACTTTCGTGCCCGTCGGCAAAGTCCTATCACTACACTGTATTCTTCGATTGATGGGGGGAACCCGGCTACTGACATGTGAAGGAGCACCTCCAGACATCTTTTAACGGCGAACGAATCCGGTTGCTTAGCAATCGATCGTACTATGTCAACAAAATCCTCCCGTGAGAGTACGGTGCGCTCGTTATCAGTCAAAGCTGCGTAACAATTCCAGGTAATGGTCGGGCAATCACCACAGAGCAACGAAGTTCGCAACTTATCCAGCATCGCATATCTGACATCTGGCTCACAAGGCGGGAGGTGATCGTCTTCGGAAACTGGCAACATCTGCGAAGCTGTATGCATCTTTCTCTTGCTGAGCCACAAAGAACCCAGTGCTGAACCAACGGTGATGGCATGAAACATCATAAGGAAACGGCGAGTCGTTCGGTGCAGTCCCGGATACTGATCGATCGGCCGCTGCGGCAGATTTCTCCGAGACATGCACCTACTCATCCGAAGTCGTGGTGTCTCTGAACGCAAATGACTGTCCATCTTCGCCTTTGGCGTGTGTGCAAAGCGCCGACGAGCCAGGGCATTATATCCATATCCGCGACTTCCCAACAGTAGCAGTTTGTCCCGCATTAATCGCTTGGCACAGCACTCCACAAGGCAGCAAGCCACTGGCTGTAGGGTGCGTAGCACGCCGTAAATATTCCTCCCTGACGTCCAAGGTATGACCGATGAGCATCGATCAGCAACTGCCTTCCAGCAGGATTAAAGCTTTTTGATCTGGTTCGAATGTTCCTTTCATTGAGTGGATCCAACAAAGCGGCGCGGAATCCTGGCAGATGAAGAGGATCTGACTACCTCTAAGCGACTCCAAATCCCAGCAACTTATGGTATATTTGGCAATAGTCAACTAGGACTTTCGTATTTGAGCTCCCAAACTGATCAGAGTAGTGTGGTTGCCAGTCTGCTCAAGATGTGGTGGCAACAACAGGCTTCCTTTCCATACCAACCAGGGAAAAAAAATATTGATATCAAGCTTAATGCTCTGACAGAAAGTTTGGTACATCTCAGTGCATTTACACCAGGTAGGGTTGGAGTCAGACAACTGCAACATTGGGGTTACTTGGATTAATTAGAAATACTGGTATACCTGGTAGGCTTATGAAAGTATATAGATATTGTAAGCAGATTATCCCAAGTTATCAATATCTTAGTAAGGATTTGTTTCAGGCTAGCTGTTAGGAGAATTGAATGGGGTATTGGGTCAGGAACCTAAACTGGTATTTAAACTTGGAATTAGATCCACAGTTACTGAGTAGAGTAGTTATAAAAATAATGTGTACTAGTGGCCCAGAATAGAAAAATTGGTACCAACTAAAAGTATACTCCAAACTCTATAGTTTTTACCTGACCAGCCTACTTTATTGCATATATTAGAGCTTAATACTTATTATTTAAATAAATATCTTAGTACAATTTTAATAAAACTACTTATTGTAGGAAGATATAGCACTGAACAAGATACTAACATAGCTACTAGTTTTTTTAAAAAATCAGATTAATTGATTAGGTATCTTGTAACTGAATTCTTCTATTAGCTGCTTTGTCTCTAGTTTGCTAGTTAGCTAATAGTGGTAAAGTGCAGTACTTTGAGCTTTGAGAATTTCAGTACAAAGTATATTACTTTTAAAATAGCAGGCACTTATATTTGCAACAAATGTTAGTAAAATAATATATTTCACACTCAATTTGTCCAAAAGTAGGCAAGACAAGGCTCCTGAAACTGTATATAAGATACTATATATTCTAAAATAGAAATCTCCTTTACTAACTAAGATTAGCGAATTTTGGTGCAAAGGTAAGGAGGATGCATTGTGGGTTAGTACTGCATTATAGAAGCTTTTTCATTGGCTACCAATGCTAGAGATAGTAGAGAAGTCCATAAATATTAGACTTAGCACTTGGAACATTGATTTCATATGTACAAATCATATCTGAGAGGGCTAGAATGGCTGTGGACCATGGTTGCCTTTTTTGGTACTGAAACTTGATGGATAACACTTGTGGATATACCTGGGGCATAAAAAAGTCCCCTGGCTACTGAAAATTGTGCTAGGAAACTGATGTAATAATAAGAAAAGAGTTCTGACTGGCAGAATAAAATGGACAAGTTAGGTGATAACCATGGGGTTTGGGGTAATGTATGCACTGAACACTTACCTCTTATTCTGGGGCATTGATACATACTTCTTTTATAATTACTTTATTTTATAATGGTGCTTATCAGTATGGTTCCCTTGATGTGTTCCCACATCCAGATCTGAAGATTGTTACCCAATCTTGGTTCCTGACCCTGCTCTCTGATTGAGTTCTGTTGATCTGGGTCCTGATTCTAGTGCCCTGATCTAGTTCTCCATCCAACACCTGTTTCAGGATCCTAATCTCAGGACTTGATCCACTTCTCCTAACAATGAGCCTGAAACAATCCCTTACTAATATATCCACAGCTCTTGGTAATCTATTTACCAATCTCTGCAACTTTAGCAAACTACCAAGTGCCAGTATTTCTAATTTTTCTACATCTCACAGTGCTCTAACCGTAACCTCAACACAGAAGTGTCAGCAGGACTTTGATGCACCAAGTTTTCAAGCTTGAGTCCTGATATTCCCACTCAGTGAATGACCAGTGCAAGAGCAGAGACCCTCATAATGCCACAAACTGTAAGGTCTTTGACTTTGGGTAATATCTCAGTGAGAATGTCTGCTGTCATCTCATTTATTTGGAGCAATGCTCTTGTGTTTGCATCTTGCTTGATATTATGGTGCCATATATTAGTGCATGTTGTCCTTGCATTATGTGTCAGGTTGCTCTGCCAGTTGACTGTGCTGCTGCCAATCTTGACTAAGAACCCTGTCTAGTATCCAAGTTGCCACATAAATCCACATGTGAGTATCTGCAAAGCTCCCACTTGTTCAGTGTACCACCACAGTGAAGTGTTGAGATTCAGGCTTAAACCACGCTGTATGAGCTATAAATCATGTGAGATCATGCTGGGATGTCATTAGACAGTTCACATCTGATTTGGCTAAGTTACAATGTGGGGAATTGGACTTAGAGTAATCAGAATGATCACAGACGCATGTGGGAATGATTTAAAGGGGTAAATCATCATGTAAGCACTCTTAGAAGGTCTGGAAGGTTTGTGACAATCTAGATCTTCAGGTAATGTTTGCCAAGGCATGGCTGAAGCTGCTGAGCATTGCTGAGCACGGCTGAGTGTAGCGGATTTTTTGTTGGTAGACTACGGTAAAGACGACTTGGGTCTCCTAGCAGGTTATGTGGGTGGCCGTACTAGGAATCATAGTCTCCGAATCCTTTCTTTGGGCGTCGGTAGCGACTTGGGGGCGAAGAGGCAAGGAGAAGTCCGTTAGTTGTGAACCGAGCAGGATTTAGAGGCTTCGGTACGGGTGATCAGGCCGTTGAAGCGCTCTGTTAGGTTCCTGTTTACCTAAGATTGGAGTTGAGAAGCGAGTTATGGGGATTTAGTGTCGCTACGGCTTCTGCCCCCGACTTATTTTATTGAATACATCCTTTTTATACAAGATTCTTGGATAAACTGTTAAACTAAACTAAACTAATGGGTGTCGCTGCACCGCAACTGATTTATTGGTGGCGGTACCGATCTCTTCCTTTTCCGCACTGGCTCGGGCCTCCACAGGTTGTACGAGGCACGCTGAAATCTAATGCGCCAATTGCCATTCTCCGAACCGGTTTTTTCGGTCGCGGTAACCCAATCGGTGGAGTTGGTCACGCGATTCATGCTTCCCGCGTCCGATTTGGGCTTACTCGCGATCTCTCGAAGACGTCCTCGTCATTACAACTTGGACACCAAATACATGATGGAAAAGTTCAATGGCGTGAACTACCACCTCTGGAAGTTCAAAATGATGATGTTGCTGAAGGAAAGAGGTCTGTGGGGTGTGATTGAGGGGGATGACAGCATGGAGGGAACCTCTGAGAAGGATTGGAGGAGAAGGGATGAGCGGGCAATGGCTGTAATTGCTCTGTCACTCATGCATGTACAGACCGCTGTAACTGCAAAAGAGGCCTGGTTAAAGCTCAGTGACATCCACCAAAGGAAGGGAATTGCCAGTAGGCTCTATCTAAGGAGGAAATTTCTCACTCTGAAGATGGAAGACGGCACTGGGGGCATGTTGGGACACATAAACACAGTCAGGACAATGGCTCAGCAGTTGGAGGCCATTGGGGCGCCAGTCAGTGAAGAAGACCAAGTCATCACCCTACTCTACAGCCTACCAGAGAGTTATGAACAGCTGGTGGTGTCTTTGGAGGCCAGGAGACTACAAAGTGAGGCACTTTGAGACAATTTCATCAAAAATATTCCCAGGGAAAAAGTGCCACAGGATAAAACCAATGGTAAAAATTGGAAGCTTATGGAAAGTAAAAAATTATGTAGAGACATGTAGGGATGAGAATTGTCCCCATTTTCCTAGCAAGATTGCAAAAAGAATAGAAATATCCACATGTTTAAATGGCAACATTGGTTTCCTTGTTTACACAAAAATCCACAGAAGATGTAGGCAACTCAGGCATCAGAACTCATCCCATCTCAACATTACCTTTGAGGCATACCAGCCAGGATTGGCCGCTCCACGCCCGGCATGCCTGCCGGCATCCTCATGTCCATTCTTCAAATGGACTACATCTGCGCCGGCATCTTCCGCCGCTTTTGATGCTACTTTTTTACATGTAGCCCTGGGATTTCGTTTTCTTTCTTCATGCATGCTGGCACAGCGAGCGGCGAAAGCGGTAGATATGTACTGTTGACAATCATGATGAACGATAGCATGATTTCGACCATGCGAATAGTTTTTTAGTTTATCCAAACATTCATAGCAGGAATACACAGCGCATTTCAGACATATGCAGAGTTGATATTCTCTAAAGCCTGTACAAGTATCGCAACGCATCGAAACACGCATTTTTATTATAATGAGTGGAAGATTATTCAGCATGCGTTTTAAGTACCTTTAGAAGCAATATTCTTCAACTGAGCATATTCTTTCCCCACATTCATAATGTGGTCATCCATATCCAATAGAGTTTCCTGATGCTGCAATATGCATTTGCAGATCGCCCTTTTATCTAGCGTAGGATCCTTGATGACAGGCATTAGGGTTTTCAGGTTTATGGTGATAAGATGCTTTCGATTTCTGAAAAATGCTATAGATGAATAATTTATGAAGCCATTATGGTTTGTATCAGATAATGTAGGGTCTTGAAATGACAGTGAGAATTGCTTTGTTTGTAGAATATCAGAGAAGTCTTTGATCATGTTTTTGAATGATCCTTGATGTAGGTCATCAAACATGGTTATAAAGTCATCTTTGGTAGACCATACGGATATGAAATGCATTCTATTTGACTCTCATCTCTAAAAAAAACAGCTGTTTGTTTCTCGAATGACCCA